TTACTCTGTCCCCCGGCGGACAGACAGCCAGGAGACCGTCACTCCGTCCCCTGGTGGACAGAGGACAGACAGCCAGGAGACCGTCACTCTGTCCCCCGGCGGACAGACAGCCAGGAGACCGTCACTCCGTCCCCCGGAGGACAGACAGCCAGGAGACCGTCACTCCGTCCCCTCGTGGACAGACAGCCAGGAGACCATCACTCCATCCCCCGGCGGACAGAGGACAGACAGCCAGGAGACCATCACTCCGTCCCCCGGCGGACAGAGGACAGACAGCCAGGAGACCGTCACTCCGTCCCCCGGCGGACAGAGGACAGACAGCCAGGAGACCGTCACTCCATCCCCCGGAGGACAGACAGCCAGGAGCCCGTCACTCCGTCCCCTGGCGGACAGACAGCCAGAAGACCGTCACTCTGTCCCCCGGCGGACAGACAGCCAGGAGACCGTCACTCTGTCCCCTGGCAGACAGACAGCCAGGAGACCGTCACTCCGTCCCCCGGCGGACAGACAGCCAGGAGACCGTCACTCTGTCCCCTGGCAGACAGACAGCCAGGAGACCGTCACTCCGTCCCCCGGCGGACAGAGGACAGACAGCCAGGAGACCGTCACTCCGTCCCCCGGCGGACAGAGGACAGACAGCCAGGAGACCGTCACTCCGTCCCCCGGCGGACAGACAGCCAGGAGACCGTCACCCCGTCCCCCGGCGGACAGAGGACAGACAGCCAGGAGACCGTCACTCCGTCTCCGGCGGACAGACAGCCAGGAGACCGTCACTCTGTCCCCTGGCAAACAGACAGCCAGGAGACCGTCACTCCGTCCCCCAGCGGACAGAGGACAGACAGTCAGGAGACCGTCACTCCATCCCCCGGAGGACAGACAGCCAGGAGCCCGTCACTCCGTCCCCTGGCGGACAGACAGCCAGAAGACCGTCACTCTGTCCCCCGGCGGACAGACAGCCAGGAGACCGTCACTCTGTCCCCTGGCAGACAGACAGCCAGGAGACCGTCACTCCGTCCCCCGGCGGACAGACAGCCAGGAGACCGTCACTCTGTCCCCTGGCAGACAGACAGCCAGGAGACCGTCACTCCGTCCCCCGGCGGACAGAGGACAGACAGCCAGGAGACCGTCACTCCGTCCCCCGGCGGACAGAGGACAGACAGCCAGGAGACCGTCACTCCGTCCCCCGGCGGACAGAGGACAGACAGCCAGGAGACCGTCACTCCGTCCCCCGGCGGACAGAGGACAGACAGCCAGGAGACCGTCACTCCATCCCCCGGAGGACAGACAGCCAGGAGCCCGTCACTCCGTCCCCTGGCGGACAGACAGCCAGAAGACCGTCACTCTGTCCCCCGGCGGACAGACAGCCAGGAGACCGTCACTCTGTCCCCTGGCAGACAGACAGCCAGGAGACCGTCACTCCGTCCCCCGGCGGACAGACAGCCAGGAGACCGTCACTCTGTCCCCTGGCAGACAGACAGCCAGGAGACCGTCACTCCGTCCCCCGGCGGACAGAGGACAGACAGCCAGGAGACCGTCACTCCGTCCCCCGGCGGACAGAGGACAGACAGCCAGGAGACCGTCACTCTGTCCCCCGGCGGACAGACAGCCAGGAGACCGTCACCCCGTCCCCCGGCGGACAGAGGACAGACAGCCAGGAGACCGTCACTCCGTCTCCGGCGGACAGACAGCCAGGAGACCGTCACTCTGTCCCCTGGCAGACAGACAGCCAGGAGACCGTCACTCCGTCCCCCAGCGGACAGAGGACAGACAGTCAGGAGACCGTCACTCCATCCCCCGGAGGACAGACAGCCAGGAGCCCGTCACTCCGTCCCCTGGCGGACAGACAGCCAGAAGACCGTCACTCTGTCCCCCGGCGGACAGACAGCCAGGAGACCGTCACTCCGTCCCCCGGCGGACAGACAGCCAGGAGACCGTCACTCTGTCCCCTGGCAGACAGACAGCCAGGAGACCGTCACTCCGTCCCCCGGCGGACAGAGGACAGACAGCCAGGAGACCGTCACTCCGTCCCCCGGCGGACAGAGGACAGACAGCCAGGAGACCGTCACTCCGTCCCCCGGCGGACAGAGGACAGACAGCCAGGAGACCGTCACTCCGTCCCCCGGCGGACAGAGGACAGACAGCCAGGAGACCGTCACTCCGTCCCTGGCGGACAGAGGACAGACACCCAGGAGCCCATCACTCCGTCCCCGGCGGACAGACAGCCAGGAGACCGTCACTCCGTCCCCTGGCGGACAGCCAGGAGACCATCACTCCGTCCCCCGGCGGACAGACAGCCAGGAGACCGTCACTCCGTCCCCTGGCGGACAGAGGACAGACAGCCAGGAGACCGTCACTCCATCCCCCGGCGGACAGAGGACAGACAGCCAGGAGACCGTCACTCCGTCCCCCGGCGGACAGAGGACAGACAGCCAGGAGACCATCACTCCGTCCCCTGGCGGACAGACAGCCAGGAGACCGTCACTCCGTCCCCTGGCGGACAAAGGACAGACAGCCAGGAGCCCGTCACTCCGTCCCTGGCGTACAGAGGACAGACAGCGATTAGAGGGGTCAGAGGTCCCAGTGGCATGCAGGCCAGTCAGACCTGGAGACCAGGGGGCAGCAAAAACAGGGTGTGGCTCTGGGAGGGGTGGCTGAGGAGGCAGAGAAGTCATCTAACCTTCCCGGCCTCCGAGGTTCAGTGGTTGAGCCTCAACCCAGGAACCAAAAGGTCAACAGTTCGATTCTGGTCAGATCACATGCCCAGGTTGTGGGGGCCATGATGCAGGAAGCAGCTGATGGATATTGATGTTTCTCTCTCATCGATGTTTCTATCTCTCTGCCTTCCTTTCTTTCTAAAAATAAATAAAAACATTTTTTAGAAGGAGAGAGAGAGAGGCTCCAGAAACTTGAGGCTGTTGGCTGGCTAATGGCCATGGAACTTGTTGAGCGATGGGACTGTTCCAAAGACATGAATGAACGGCAGAGGGACCAGGGGTCAGGGGTGTCAGGGCCCAGGAGAGGAAGGAATGGCGCAGAGGAAGGAATGGAGAACACATCCTGAGGACGAGGTTTATGGGACATCACCTGAGCTTAGGCTCCCCGCAGACTTCCTTGTATAAAACTTTGTATTACTAAGGTTGAGGAATATAAAATTGCCACTTTTATAGTTCTAAAATGTCAAATATTAGCAAATAATTTTTAGCAGTTGAAGCAAATAGTTGCCCTTTTTTTTCATCCTTAAGAGAGAATATTTTTTTTAAAATATATTTTATTGATTTTTCACAGAGAAGAAGAGAGAGGGATAGAGTTAGAAACGTCGATGAGAGAGAGTCATCGATTAGCTGCCTCTTGCACACCCCCTACTGGGGATGTGCCCGCAACCAAGGTACATGCCCTTGACCGGAATCGAACCCGGGACCCTTCAGTCCGCAGACCGACGCTCTACCACTGAGCCAAACCGGTGCCGGCAAGAGAGAATATTTTTAATTGACATTTGAGAGAGAGAGAGAGAGTAAGGGAGCAAGAGAGAGAAACATCGATCAATTGCCTCCTGAATGTGTCACGACTGGGTATGTGCCCTGACCAGGAATTGAACCCAAGATATGTTAGTCCACAGAACGATGTTCCAACCTATACTGGCTTCTCTCGAAAAATAAACCCACAAAGAACTATCCTCATATCATCACTCACCTTCCCCTTCCACGTGGCTTCATGGGCCAGAACTGAGTGGGGCTCCCTTAAGAAAGATGACCCGCTATCCCCTATGCCTGTGCCGTGGCCCCCTTCACAGCTCACATCACCCGCCTGGGGCAGCCAGCTCAGCCTCACACAGACTCCTGTGGAGCTGCGGAGGCCCACAGAACACCCCCCGCTAGTTTCTGCAACGGCCAGGGACAGGAAATGAGCGGCCCTCTGCCGCTGAGCAATGGAAAGTCTTCTCTTTAGAAGACAGCCCCTGCTTTTGCGCCTGGCACCTGCCAGGCAGGAGAGGAAACCGGTTCCTACCTCCTCCCTGATGCCAGGCCATGCCACAGCAGCCACGCCAGAAATTCTCACCTACTGCTCCCACTGAGCCTGAAGCCTTCCACTTTCCCCTCCAAAGGAGGCCGCACGCTCCCTTGGTCACCTGGACCCCCCTCCTGGGCTGCACCCTGGGGAGGGTAGTGGAACAATCCACATCCTTACTTGCCTTGCCTCCTTTTGCCCACATTCTTCCCTCTCCCTGAAATGCCCCCATCTGACCTATCACAGATAGCCCCTCCTCCCTCAGATCCAGTTCGGAGCATCCCCAATGAATGCATGACACCCCAGGACAGCCTCAGTCCCTGGCAGGACAACCAGCAGCCAGCAACCCCTGACGCTGGAGCCTCAGCTTTCCTGCTTATCAGTAAGGGAGGGAAGGAAGCACTCTCCCAGGCCTCTGCTCGGAACCTCAAGTCTTGGAGTCCTAAGCACTGTCCAAAGGACTGACAGGGATCTGAGAGGGTCTGGGTTAGATTGAGCAAGACTGGCAGAAACTAGTGAGCTTTGCAAAAGCTGCCAAGGATTCTCTTTGGAAACATCCCGTTTACAAAGCACAGCCCAGGAGGAGGAAGCCCAGTAGGACTGGCTCGGTCCCCTCTTCCTCAAGGTGGACTCTCCCTCCTTCCCACACGCTACCTCCAACAGCTACCATCATCAGAGCCTCCGACCAGGCGGGCCCGGTGGTTCCTGCCCCTCCACCACCCGCTACTGCCCACACCTGCACGCTGGGGCGAGGAGCGCCGGACGGGCTGGGTCACAGAGCACGAGCAGGACGGACAGAGGCAGTGCCAAGGGTTAAGAAGAAATGATCGGAAACGGCTCGTTCTGCGTATTAACACGGCGGCTTTCCCTCCCCGTTAGGATAAAGGCTTCCATTCACTCCCCCGAGCCCGTCCTCCAGGTGGGAGAGCGAGGCGCGGGCGGCGCTCCCTCTCCCGCCGGCACAGCCCCGGCCCCGCAGCCGCCGGGCCGCTCACCGAAGTAGTCCCGCGCCGAGCGCGCCTCCAGCGCCCGCTCCAGCTCCCGGGTCAGCGCCTCCAGCCGCCGCTCCGCCGCGCTGGGGCCGCCCTCCCGGCCCGCGGGCAGCGGGAGCGCAGGCAGAGCGAAGGGGGCCGGCCCGACGGGCTCGGGGCAGCGGGTGGCGGCGGGGCCGGCGCCGGGCAGCGGCCAGTCGGCGTAAGCCCCGGCGGAGCCGCGGGAGCCGAGGCTGGACACGCTGGAGCGGGCGCTGCCCGCCGACGGCGGCCCGGGGCCGGGGCGCGGGTCCGAGCGGCCGGAGCGCGGGCTGCCGTGGCGCTGGTCGTAGCCCAGGCTGATGCCGCTGGAGCGGGCGCTGCCGCCGCCGCCGTCCGAGCCCGCCAGGCTGAGCCGCGGGCTGCCCGCCGGCTGCGCGCTCAGCTCGGGGCCGGCCGCGCGCCGCGGGCCGCGCTCCCCGCGGCTCAGTCCGTCCGTCCCGGCCTCGGGGCCGCCGGCGCCGCCCTTCGCCCGGCGGCCCAGCGCCAGCGCCGCCTCGTCCCCGGGCCCGGGCCGCGGCCCCCGCCGCCCCCGGCCCGGAGAGTCGCCGCCCGGCTGCGGCTCCCGCAGGGCCAGCCCGGCGAGGAGCGCGGCCGCCTCGTCCGCGGCCGCCCGGGAGCGCTGCATGGCCCGGCCCGCCGGCCTCGGCGTCACCTCCGCCCGGGCTTCCCGCCGCCGCTCCGGCCGCGCCGCCGCATCGTCCGCCCGAACCGGAGCCCGCCCGGGCCCCCCGCGCGGGGCGGGGCGGGCAGGCGCGGGGCCCGTCGCTCCGCCGGACACGCGCGGCCCGGGGTCCGCTCCGCGGCGCGCGAGGCGGAGGAATGCGCTCCGAGGCGCCGGGCGCGCCCCCTCCTCCCGCCGGGCGGAGGGACTCCTTTGTGGGGGCAGGAATGCGAGGAAGGAGACGGCGCTGCGGCCGCTGGAATGCGGGGGAGTGGCGGCGGCGGCGGCGCCCGGAGCGTGGAGGGGCGCGGGCCGGGCCGGGCCCTGGGGCGGCGCGGCGGAGACCGTGGAGCCTGCGGACGCCACGGGCTGAGCTGGCGGCGGCCCCGCAGTCGGCAGGAGACTTAGGGGCCGCTGACAAACGTTTCCCACGTCCTCCCATCTCACTTCCCAGCGACGCCTCACTCCCCGGCGCTTGGCCTTCGGCTGAAGCTCCGCAGCCGATCCAGGACCTGAGGGACTCTGCGCGTCTGGTGCACGCGCGCCACCGGGACCTCGCGTGACCCTACGACCCCCGCCTGTCCCTGGGACGTGTGGTTGCTCACTGGTTTGAGCCCCACCTGCCCGGGGGTGGGAGAGGGGGGGAGGGAAACCGCCTAATGCCAGGAGCCAGGGTTGGTTGGGGACTGGTCAGTGTGCCTGGTCCTTGGGCTCAAGCCCTCGAGGCCAAGCTAGGCTGAAGCAGAACTCAGGCTGAGCCAATGGACTGATGACCCGCGGCTATGACCACCACATGAAGTCACCAAGAGAAGTGAGGACTCCCTGTTTTTCCAGGACCTGCCCTCAGGGTCTTGGGAGAGGCGCCAAGGGGATGCTCCTGAAAACACTTGCGCTGCAACAGGTCTGGCCTTGGGGGCCACGTGAGGGATGGAAGAGAGGTGACCAGGGCTTTGTCCCTGAAAACAAATCAGAAAGCCCTTGTCGTGCATTTCAAACAGCTCATAGAGAAAAGCAAACCGCTATCTATCAGGACCTGGTGGATACAGGAAAACAACCTTGAGTGGATGGGGTCTCTCTTTCCCAGCCTCCCACGCCCGAGAATTCCAGCAAGGCAGCCAGTGTGGTAGGGAGACTGGACCAAGAGTTGTCCTGTACAGACTGACCAGGATGTGGGGCCTCAGCATTCTGAGGAACCCACGGCGGCCCATTCTCTTCAGCTAGCAGTTGAGCAATGTCTCATGCAGCACCTCTCAGAGCTGGCAGAACTCCCAACACCTAACACCCACCCCCTAGGCTCAGAGTGAAGGGGGCAGGCACAGGTGGGTTCAAGCGTTTGGGGAACTATTATCCAGAGAAGCTACCTAATGAAGAATCATCTGAGAAAGGAAAGACAAGTTAAATCAACAATGAGCTATCACATCTCACATTGTCTCCCTTTTAAAAATGGAAATTTTGACAAGACTGGTGAAACTTGCCTATACTTTACTGGTAGGAGTATACGTTGGTATATCCTGTCAGGAAGAGCAATTTGCTGGTATTAACGTTCTCACAAATGAAAACTCCTATAAGCAGTAGTGCTCCAAGAATCTAAGCTAGGGAAGAAATGCAAAATGCAGATAACAATGCAAGCAAAACGTGTTCATCACATCTTTATGTAATCAGTGCGGTACCTGGGTTTCCAGCCTTCTGAAAAGGAGCTCAGAGGGAATTCTCTGCCCTCAAGGTAGTTCTTAAATAACTGTTCCATCTCCACCTAAAGCTTCCAAGATCTAAACAATATATTGGAGTTCAGCCAAAACCGGTTTGGCTCAGTGGATAGAGCATCAGCCTGCGGACTGAAGGGTCCCCGGTTCGATTCCGGTCAAGGGCATGTGCCTTGGTTGCGGGCGCATTCCCAGTGGGGGGGGGGAGGGGTGCAAGAGGCAGCTGATGGATGACTCTCTCATCGATGTTTCTAACTCTCAATTCCTCTCTCTTCCTCTCTGTAAAAAAATCAATAAAATATATTAATATATATATATTGGAGTTCAGGGTCAGCTAAAATGCATTACCCACTCTGATAGTAATAAATAAAAACAACCACCCACAATCAGAAACAGAAACAACCCAAAATAGTTTGCTTTCTTACCTCTGGCCATCTTGTTAGCTATTTTTGTTTAGGGCTATCCAACACCTAAAACGGAAAAATGGTGGCCACAAAGACAAAAAAGACACGCGAGTCAATTAATTCTAGGCTCCAACTGGTTATAAAAAGTGGCAGGAGTACCACTGGGTAAAGCAGACTCTGGAGATGATCAGACGAGGCAAAACGAACCTGGTCATCCTCAGCTTCCCAGGTTTGAGGAAATCTGATAGAGTGCTACCCCATTTGGCCAAAACTGTGTCCATCACGAGAATAGCAGTAATAAGACTTGGGCACAGTGTGCAGAAAATACTAAAGTATGCACATGGTTACCATTTACACAGTTGATTTTAATGTTATTAGAAGCATGACAGAACAAACTGGTGAGGAGTGAATTATACAAAATGGTCCAGAACTGGCTTAAATAAATAAATAAAATGGTCCTGGCTGGGTGGCTCAGTTGATTGTGGATTCAATCCCTGGTCAGGGCTCATACAGAAAGGAACAGATCGCTGTATCTCTCTCACATAATGTCTCTCTCTCTCTCAAATCAACTTTTTAAAAAGTTTATATAAATAAATAAAATGTTCATTGTTCAACATTAAAACAAAGTACATACTTCCATGAAGTGGGAAGTACATTAAGCAAGTGTTTGTAAATATATTAAAAATACTGAACGGTGTGGGAAGTCATACCATTGTCATGCTAAGTAATACAGAGCACCATTCAAAATGGTGTGGTCTCATCTATACATTACCCAAATGTGTCCCAGCCCCCACCTTCTTTTGTAGCCTCACTACAAAATGCTGAGTGTTTTATCTCAATTTGTTAGCTCTTTCCCTCTGAGAACAATCGGGGAGAAGGAAAGACCAAGGGCTGGCTCATAGGGCTTGAAGCACCATCCAAGGGCTCGCTGCCCAGCCTCCGCTGATGCCTTCCCTGTCCTCCACTGATACAGGGGTTCTCTGTGCTCACCTCTCTCTCTGGCCTTTCTCCTCCTGGGTCCAGGAGTATGCTGGTTTTATCAACCAGTGCTCTGGGAAAGGTTTGTACAAATACCTCCATGGTCAATTTCAAACTACCAGTATGGTATCACTGAACAGAGTTGGGAAGAAATTAGCATAATCAGCATGGAAAAACTAGTATGAGCTGGCTCCAACTACCACCGCCAGGCCCCACCACTGGAGAAAGGAAAGGTTCACAACAGAACTGCTGGGGCTCGGATCTATCCTCCTCTCAAGTTCACCAAAACCTTCCTTTGTCTAGGCAGATGGACACACTCAGAGGCTGGCACAGAACATGCTCCATGCAGTCTCACACCATGTCCTGAACCCACATCTTCTCCTTTTAAGGCCCCAGAGGCTTATCCTATCCAGACTGTCCACACTAATGGTGATTTTTTTTAGAGGTTTTGAATCTCTCCTTGTAACCTAACTTCCATCAGACCCCCTTATCTGTCTGTAGTATGTGTATTATCTGGACCCCAATTATGAACACAATTCAGGGGTTTTCCTACAATCTTGGGATACACTCAGATGTCAATCAAATGTGGCTGGAGAACTGGGTTAATTAGAGTAGTGTGGATGGATCCCAACAATTCCTCCAGGTGGAGTTTGCAATGGAGGAAGTGCTGGGACTACACTTCTTTCTCTCCCCTAAGCTGGCAGCAGTCTTCACCACTGCAATTTTTCCTGGGAGAGCAGCAGTAATCTTTCATCTAAAGCACACTTTGGCCTGGCTGGCAAGAACCAGGAAGTCACTGTTGGATTCCCAGTCAGGCACATACCCGAATTGCAGGCTCTGTCCCTAGTAGTGGGCGTGCAGGGGGCAGCCAATCAATGATTCTCTCTCATCATTGGCATTTCTATCTATTTTCCCCTCTTCCCTTTCTTTCTAATATCAATAAAAATATATTTAAAATATATATAAAGCACCTCTCCCTGCTCAACTCCTAGTAGCTGGTGATCCCATACACACACACAGCCCCAGAACCAAAATACATTTTCTGCCTGATCCACTGCGTGCCCATCCCCTCTTTGGAGGCCAGCTCTTCCAACCAGATTGAGGCCAAAGTCTCCTGGCCCTGGTATCCCCTTCGGCCCTTCTGGGGACACAGAAGTTTAATTGTTAGCTGACGCCATTGATGGGTTGGTTCCCCAATCTAAGAATCAAGGTTAAGATCTGACAATTACAGCTTGCTTCCTTCTCCAGGAAGCAAGTAGCCTTTAAACATTTTTATTTTAGAGAGGAAAACATTGACTCATCATGCATTTTTGGAACCTACCCTACACTCAGGAATAGGAATTTCTGCACAAACTTTGTATGAAGCAAAAACCTCAGCCAATCTGCAGCATCATGGAGAGAACAGGGACAACGTAGAGGATGCTTCTCATGAGTTTCAGTAATGCTGGAAGCTCCTGGAAGGATCAACTGAGAATCTTGGCAACTTAGAGGATGTGGAGCCCCAGATCCCCATTCCACCACCTATCGCTGCCATGAGAAGTTGAGTTTCTTTCGCACACCATCCCTTACAGTGTCTTACGGCTTTCAACAATTTCAAAAATTGCTAGCAGTGATTGAGTATTGATCTATGAACGAGGTCAAGGTTCAATCTGTGGCCAGGGCACACGCTGGGATTGGGTGCTCGATCCCTAATATATATTTTTATTGAGTTCAGAGAGGAAGAGGGAGGGAGAAAGAAACATCGGTAAGAGAGAATCGTTGATTGACTGCCTCCTGCATGCCCCACATTGGGGATGAGCACCCAACCCCAGCCTGTGCTTTGGCCAGGAATCAAACCATGTCCTCCTAGTTCATAGGTCAAGGCTCAACCACCGAGTCTCACTGGCCAGGCTAAAAAATATATGTATATTTAAAAAATTTCCAACTTGGCTGTCAGGGTTGGTAAGGTTTTCCAAGAAGTGCAGCATAGTGCAGAGGAGGGATGCAATACCTATGTATAGAATGAGAGAGACAGTGCGTGTACAATGCCTATATTTTTTAAGATTTGATCTAAGATTTTATTTTCCTGCCGAGGCCGGTTTGGCTCAATGGATAAAGCATGGGTTCGATTCCGGTCAAGGCCATGTATCTTGGTTGCAGGCATATCCCCAGTAGGAGGTGTGCAAGAGGCAGTTGATTGATGACTCTCTCTCATCGATGTTTCTAACTCTCTATCTCTCACCCTTCCTCTCTACAAAATCAATAAAATATTTTTTAAAAAAAAGATTTTATTTTCCTTCTGAAAACCAAATAAATTGAAGATTTAAGTAAAAACATGGGGGCTCTCTTGGCACATAGTACATTTTAAAGCTGCTGAGTCAGGCAACAAAACTTCCAAAAACATTATTTTACCAGGAAGTAATGGTCTTCAAAATACATCCAAAGCCATGGCTGGGTAGTTCAGTTGGTTAGTGTCATCCCCATACATTAAGGTTCGATTCCCAGTCAGGATACATAAAATAATCAACCAATTAATGTATCAATAAGTGGAACAACAAATAGATTTCTCTCTCTTCCCCCTTCTCTCTTTCTCAAATCAATAAATTTAAAAATATTTTAAAAAGTACAAACTATACAACAGGATCATAGACCTATAGTTCAACTCAGTTGAGTTAGTGAGAGCAGTTCACTTTTCTCAAAATTTTGGCTGGATTTTAAATTAGATGTGTGGTTTTCCTTCTGGTGCAGAATGCAAATAATGTATTTCCAGTATGTAAGTGATTATAAAAGTATTTCTCTAACTACATCCTCCTAGGAAATGATGAAATGGAGATTTCGGACCTCAGGAACACTATTGTAAGATGCAAATGGGAGGCCTTTGCTGCCTGTAAAAGTTACAACTAGAAACACCTGCCAATATTTTTCTCCAGAATTTTTTTTTTACTGAAATAGCTTCCATTTTCTGTATATTAAAAAAGGCTAGTAGAGGCTTAAATTTGCTAGTGTCCAACAGGACAAGTCCACTTCAGATATGTGTGCCACCAATGGACAATTTTTAGGAACAGGAACTGTTATTATGAACCGAAAGCTTCTGACAGCTTCTAAGTAATTTACTAGGAACAACCTGGCTTTTCCTAGTTCTCTGAAGGCTCAAATGAAAGAGAATTCTTCCTACGTCACAGTCTAGCAACAAAGATGAATAAAGCTAACTTTATCAATGTTGGACCCAGAAATCACTAACACTCATGCCAACTTATTTTTAATAACCTTTATTGCCTTCTTGATTTCAATCATAGAATATACTCAATACGAAACATTAAAGTCACATAGGCACAAAAGGAAAACAGACTATATGTAATCTCCACTTTTATGAAAGTTTTCAAAGTTGGATAATACAATGAACAATGTATTTAAGTCCCAACTAGATTTTATGTTAATTTTGCCTTTCTTACTGTATTATATATTTTGCTCAGCCATGTAAAAATTGTATTACAGTTTCATCCCTAATATTTCAAAAATCAGGACAGTCCTACAAGGTTATCATACCTAAGAAAATAACTCCATCACCTAATGTACTTCATTTTAAAATTTCCAAAAGAATTGTTATAGCCATTTGTTTTGTACTTGAATTCTAATATGATCCACATTGTGTACTTGTCCAATTGTTTGCTCATGCTAATGGGTTTCTCTAACCTCTCTATTTCCAGTAGCTGGAAACTAAGTCTAGACACTGGGTTAGATTTGGGCTTCTCTGTTTGCCTGGGTGCTAGTTTTTCTTCAGGAGCATCAGGTTGTCCCATTCGTGATGCCGGGCTTGACCACTTGATTATGGTAGTGACAGGAATCAGTCCATGGTCAAGACTTGCCTTTTGCAAGTTATCTGTGTAGCATTTGAGCACTGAGTGAAGATTTTTTTATTAAAGATTTTGGCATCCACTGATCTTTGCTGGATTGGTTAATTAAGAGTCAGACACTATTAAAACACTGGCTGAGACCGGTTTGGCTCAGTGGATGGAGCATGTCTGCAGACTGAAGGATCCCAGGTTCGATTCTGGGTAAAGGCATGTACCTTGGTTGCAGGCACATCCCATGGGGGGAGGGTGCAGTAGGCAGCTGATCGATGGTTCCCTTGATATTTCTAATTCTCCCTTCCTCTCTGTAAAAAAATCAATGAAATATATATTTTTTAAAAACTGAATCTTTTTAATAGAATGAAGAATTCTTTCCCTTAAGCCTTCAGTAATGTAGGTTGACCTTTGGGGCCATGGCCTTGTTTGGTAAACTTCAGTCGCCAGACTGCTCCCAGTGAGGCTGGATGTTGTCAGGTGTATCTCAGGTTGGAGTCCTGCTCCCGGCGCCACTGCTGAGAAGACAACTCCCATGGGAAAACCACAAATACAAGGCCAGAGCTAACGTGTCTCCAGACTCTAGGAAAGGAGGGGCAACTTGGATTTGCTTAGTGTAACTGAGTAAGACTCCTACTCGGACCCCTTAATGATAAACACTGACTTTATAAGAAGAGGCTGGAAATTAACAGAAACTACTGAAGAAAATAGGAGTTGAAAAAATGAAATCCATTGCTGTCAAAACAAACACACTTCTACAGATCAAATTGGCACTCATTGCCATGTATCTTCAATTAAGAAAAGAACATATACAAAATGCAAACTGTCAAAATCATGTCTAAATAGGCAGGTCAAAGTTTTAAAGAATAAAAAATAATTTCAAAACGCAAATTTCTGATTTTCAAAATAGAACATGATTTGCAGTGTCCAGTTAACCAACATTATTGAGATATGATATTCCAAGATACTTTTTAAAAATATATATATTTTATTGATTTTTTTTACAGAGAAGAGAGAGGGACAGAGAGTTAGAAACATCGATGAGAAAGAATCATCGATCAGCTGCCTCCTGCACCACTCCTACCGGGGTACATGCCCTTGACCGGAATCGAACCCAGGACCTTTCAGTCTGCAGGCCGACGCTCTATTCACTGAGCCAAACCGGTCTCGGCCCAAGATACTTTTTTATGTTATTTTGAAACTCTTACTGGAGGAAAATAAAACTCCTAAAAATCTAAAAGCAAAGTGAAGCCCACAGGTTCCCGAGTTGTGGAGGGACCCAGCCTCCTTGCAGAAGGCTGGAAGTCCGTTCATCTGGGAGTTATTAAGCAGCATGTTCCTGAGGGCTGTCTTGTTCAGTATGACTTTTCTGAAAACTTTGATTACATGCTGAGTTTACAAATGATACAAAACAAGGTTTGAGATTTAACCTGGTGGCAAATAAGAATTATAAAAAGTGAGATAATATAATAAATTATCAGTTTGAAATTTAGTTGACACTGGCAAAAAACCCCAAAGGCAGAGATGGAGAATGGGGTTTCTGTTATCTGAAAACTCAAGGCACATTTGTGTGAGAAGACTTCCCTAACAGCCCTCTGGGGCCTAGGCAGATGGGAGTGTTGATCCTTCTGGAGCAGATACAGCCATATCTATAGGTTGGAGTTAGGCCCAAAATGAATGGTATACTCAAGGAGGACTGAAGAAGTGGGGAACAATCCAGAGAAGACTGCAGAGTATAGGAGACTCTGGCCATCTGGAATCTCAAATCCAAGGCTCTAAGTTACAAGAGCTGGCCAAAGATAACTGAAATATTCTCAATAAAAGGCCAACTGTTTACAATCCAAATTTAAAAAGCACCACCACCATTAAAAACTTTATTTTAAAAAGCACTCATCTATGGCAAACAGTGGAGATCTTTTAACCTTCATATCCATCACAAATTAATTTTTTAAAAGGAAAGGATTTAGCATTCCTGCAGAAAATACAATGAATAAACCCAACAAGGCAGCAGATACTGTACAGGCATGTACAAGTATGCAGAGGCCATTTTATTTGGTCCATTAAGTATAGTATAATTGTATTTGAGTCTTACAAAACATCAAATATAAATAACCTAAAACTGTAACAATACACAAAAATTGGCTTCTTACACAGACATACCAGGCAGTACAAGCTGAAAACTTGAGTAAATTAACATTGTTTTACATCAATATACATAGTGCCAGTTCATATTTAAAAAACAAGTTTCAATACAGCACTTGATACCTTTTTTAAATCTGTTTCAGTCAAGAGTATGAAAATGGTTAGATCTAGGCTAAAAATAATTCTTTTTCTAACCAAAAATAAAGGCATAATATTTATAACCAGGTATCAACTTTACTAAACCACAATATTTTAAACTATTAAATGATACCTAAGAATATTTACATTAAAAAGGCAACATGCATTGTTTCTTTTCATGACTAGTTATGCAAACGCTTTGTTCAGAGGGTTTTAAAACTATGTTCCTACTTCCATACAGCATTCCGCAATGTGTCTGATAGTTCTAGCAAAATGAGTACTTTCAAAGGGAGCAGAACCATCTTCAAGTCACTGGGCTCAACTTCTCCCCTTTGGAACAAAGGACGCTGGGTGATCCATGCAGTCAGAGGGTTCTGCTGGAGGCACTGCTGTTCAGTCTAATGCTATAACATCATCAAGGTCTTTTGTCTGTTCTGTGCGTGACCTCTTTGTACTGATATTCTCTTTCTCATCCAATTTCCTCTTGCGACTCCTCTCTTCTGCACTGATGTCAGCATTATTTGAAGGACCTTCTTCATCTGAATCAACTATGAGCACATCGTCTTGCTCTTGTGCTTATTTCAGAAAAAAATAAAAGAAAAATGGTTAAAAGTGTGGGAATTACTAATGGTTCATTAATATATTCATGTAAGTGAAAAGCTATCTCTTCTGATATAACATATTTCTATACTGCCTTAATATTTTCTGTAACAAGTATCTATTTCTTTTATAATCAAAACAAAAAATTATAACAAGTGTGATATAACTCGTAACTTACTACAGTACCTTATTTCTATTTCTCCAACAGAAAAGGGAGGGTAAAAATCCTAATACTGTGGTAGTGGTGAACAACAACAACACAACAACAACAACAAAAACAACAACATATACATAGCACTTACAATGTGCCAGGAACTGTTCTGAGCACTGCAAATAATAACTCATTTAATCATCACAACAACCCTATAAAGAAGATAACATTATTATCCGTTTTCCAGAAAAGGAACTAAGGTACAAAGAGCTTGACTTGCCCAAGATCAAAAGTAGAGAATGAGGTCAGGATACAAACCCATGCAGTGGGGGCTTTCTAGGGCATGCTTTTTAACTTGACACTAACAAATCAAAGGCAGAGTGCCTATCTTACAGTCTTCAAGACCTACCCACAGAGGATCAATCGATCCACATTTCAAATTATGATTTTTAAAAACTACTCTAGTCCCTTCCCCAAAGCATGATGGGCCTCTCTATTTTCAAAGAAAGGTCATGAACCCATGGCCCACAAGTGGGCCAAACTGTAGATAGCCTCAAAGACCATCTTTAAAACTCTCACTGAACATCAGAACCTAGAACATACTCCAAAGAACAACAAAGACCCAGGGTCAAAGAAATGAAAACAGAAGTTTAAAAATCAGTACCTTTTTGTTTCCTGACTTAAAGAATGAAGGGGGGTGTGTGTGTGTGGGGAGGGGTAATAGACATCCAAATCCAGCACAGTCAAGCACAAGCACCAGCACCGAAAACCCAGCAAACGGCCTCTGATGCACATTTCCCAGTCATACTGGTTCTGAGAAAACTGTGAAATGCTATTAATTCTGTATTCGGCAGGTATCTGCTCACTCCAAAGTCAGATATACTCATCTGTCATCTCTAAATAAAAGATACAAAATCCAAAACTACTACTAAGAATGAATGGTCTTTACTATCTAGTAGAAAACTCACATGTCTAGATGTAAAAAGCCACTAACAAAAAATAACACAATGTTTCTATTTTCAGTAAGAAAAAAATGGCGTCATGGGTCATACACTCCAAACTCCATTAAAATAATCAATGCCAGCCCCTAACTGGTTTAGCTCAATGGAAAGTGTCGGCCTGGGCACTGAAGGGTCTTGGGTCCGATTCCGGGTAAGAGCATGACCTAGGTTGCAGGCTCGCTGTGTAACCTCTCTCCCGCCCCCCCCTCTCTCCCTCCCTCCCTCCCTCCTTTTTACTCTCTAAAAACCAATGGAAAAATATCCTCAGGTGAGGATTAACAACAAATCAATGCCAAGCCAACACATATCTCTAGTAGTCCTATGGATTTCTACTTTGTTGTCTAGAGGCCTGGTATATGAAATTCATGCACAGGGAACCCCCTCAGCCCAGCCTGCACCCTCTCCAATCCAGGACCCCTTTGGGGGAAGGCCAATTGCCGGTTTAGGCCTGATCCCATGGATTAGCCCTAAACTGGCACTCAGACATTGCTCTCACAGTCCTGGACCGCTGGCTCCTAATCGCTCACCTGCCTGCCTGCCTGGTCACCTCTAACTGCCTCCCTGCCCTTATCGCCCCTAACTGCCTCCACCCACGCTCCTTACTGCCTCCATCCACCCTTCCTGGCTTGGTCACCCCACGCAGCCTGCTGGTCATCCCTCACTAACCCCCCTTGCCAGCCTGGTGGTAGGCAGCCATCTTGTGAGGGTCGATTTACACATTACCTCTTTTTTTCTTGTTAGAATGTTTATGAAATAATCATAATTTGTTTCTATATAGTCTTGGCTGTTGGTTGGGTACTCAACAACCTGCTGGCTGGGACCATGACTCACCTGTGGAGGTCGAAGGCTGAGCTCCATCATCACTGCCATTGGTTATGCTTTTGGCAGCATCGTCAGCTTGTTTGGGCCCCACTTTTTCTGGGGCATCACCAACAACTTCAAATTCCACATCCTTTCCTAGGTCTTCACTGTAAAAGAACCACACACTATAAAAATAGACCAGAGCTACAACTATTTACAAAAGCAAAGACACACCAGAAAAAGGTACTGCTCCTATTTGAAGGGTAGGCTGTATACACATCAAATATTTGAATTCTGGTTTTCTTTAGAGCTAAAATAAAAAACAAGATTATACACAATAGATTTTTGTGACAATTCAAAACTCTCTAACTCGAATTGTAAATACCACTACATTTTCAAATAGGCGCAGGGTAGTCTGTTTGTTTTTAATGTTAATAACTTCTATTGCTAAAGCAGAAAATTGAGTCTAATACTCTATGGCCCAATGTAACCTGTTGGCATTGTTTCTTCAGCTACTATGTGAGAAGATTCTACACTCGACTGACTCTGATCTTGACCAAAGTAATTTGGTGTTTTAGGAGTAGGATACATGGATTCTGGGTTTCCCTCCATCTTTACAGGCAGCACCCTGCTTTTGTAATGAGTTCCCAAAAACATGTACACAAGCACACCACTGACATCCAACTGGTGACTAATTGAGGCTAGAGTTCATTCCTAGCATCATCTTTGCTCAATTGTCTGACTTTGTGAAATGTACTTATTACTAACTAGAGGCCCGGTGCACAAAATCTGTGCATGGGATATAGGGGAAGTCCCTTAGTCAGGTCTTCACCCTCTTGCAATCAGGACATCTCTCTCGAAATCTGGGGTGGCTGGCTTCTAATCGCTTGCCTGCCTGCTTGATCGCCCTTAAGTGCCTCTACCTAAGCCCCTGCCACCACAGCTTTGTCAGGAAGGACATCCGTGAGGTCATTCAGCTGTCCGGTCTAATTAGCATAATATGCTTTTATTACTATAGACAACTCACACTCAGTCTTTCCTGTCATTTAATGCTTTTTTATAAACCAAATCTATAAAATATAATGTTCTCCAAACTATACAAGTTGTATATGTTTGTACAGAGAGGGCAATACTGGCAAAAACTACTGGACAAAACTGTTGGTTAGCTGGTACCCAAAAGTCCTAAGTCAAGATACAGTTTAGGGGTATTAATGAGCATGTAAAAAACTGCATCTTAAAAACAGACAAAAAAACAAAAACAAAAAACAAAAAACTGCACCTTGTGAGGACCATCTATATTTAACTGTTATATATACACAAATATTCTATAATGCAAACACTTTGAATACTTATTATAAAGGATGTAAAATCAAAATTTAAGAAATATATATGAGACCCAGGAATCTATACAGGGATTAATTTTAATATTCTCTTGTATTGTTACAGATCACAAATCCTTCTAATGAGTCTTTAAAAAAAAATAGAATTTTTATTCTACTTCAATTTTCAAAATGAACTCACCTCTGATTATAACTATTCAAACCTTGGATTTCTACCTTCATTCTCATCAGGCATCATCTGCAAGTTACCCTTAAACATTTTTTGTCTACTCCTTTTATTTCTGAATGCCCACATTTTTCTGTCAGTCAAACCTCAGGGAATTTAGGGCCAACTTGAACAGTACAAATGTACTGTGCAGTTTCAAATGAGTATTAGGGTTTAAGGATAAGAAAACATATTTTTCCCATTTACTGTATTTTAAGTGCATATATTAAAATAATTTCTTACAACTGAACATAAACTGTGCACCTATGGATGAGGACAATGGGGGGGGTGGGGAAAGGGCAGAGGGTGGAGTGGGAACCTGGTGGAGGGGAGCAATGGGGGGGGGGAAATGGGGAACATTTGTAATAATATGAACAATAAAGATTTATTTAAAAAAAAATAATTTCTTACATTTAAAATATTAATAGTTCCTACCTATGAAGGATGTTGATCAATAAAGTGTAGTCCTGAAGAAAGTCGTCTGCTTGAAGCCGGCTCCCATTTCTAATTCCAAATTCTGACAACTTCTTGTGATTATTAGCTAGGAAATTTTAAAGAAATTTAGATTTATTAATTACATTTCCATGGACCAGTTAAAAAAGGTTAACACTTAACCTAAGCTGAATTGTGTCCCCCAACTTTTATGTTAAAGCACTAACCCCAGGACTTCAGAATGTGGCTCTATTTGGAGATGGTGCTTTTTAAAGTGATTAAAAGGAGGCTGTTAGGGTAGGCCCTGATCAGGCTAACTGATATCCTTAAGAGAAGCCAAGGAGAGAAACCCTAGGAGAAAACATACCTGTTGCCACTTTTAAGTCCCCTTGCTCAAAAATATGAGAAAATAAATTTCTGTTATTTAAGTCACCCTATCTGTGTATTTTGATATGGCAATCCTAACAAACTAATCCATTAAAATATTAGACACTTAGGAATTCATCCTTGAATACTCAACTGCTAAAACTACTTCAAAGGCACCAAATAGAGATTTTAAGAACTTTCTCCTATTCAAACCAAATTAATCTGGAGTTCTGAGAAGTCAAAGACAACTTTTAGGGTTGTACAAAATATATTCTTTATTGCCGAAACAGGTCTGGCTCAGTGGTAGAGCGTTGGTCTGTGGACTGAAAGGTCCCGGGTTCGATTCCGGTCAAGGGCATGTACATTGGTTGTGGGCACATCCCCGGTAGGGGTGTACAAGAGGCAGCTGGTAGATGTTTCTCTCTCATCGATGTTTCTAACTCTCCATCCCTCTCCCTTCCTCTCTGTAAAAAAATCAATAAAATATATTTTAAAAAATACATATATATATTCTTTATTGACGAAAGGGAGGGAAGGGGGGGAGAGAGATATCAATTTGTTGTTTCACTTATTTATGCATTCACTGGTTGGGACTTGTATGTGCCTTGACTGAGATTGAAACCACAACCATGGTGTATCGGCATGATGCTCTAACCAACTAAGCTACCTGGCCAGGCTCAAAATATATTCTATGTTGCAAACAGGTTATCCAAGACAAAACTTTTTAGCAAATTTTACAATTCAGAAGTATAAGACATTTTTAAATAAAAACTTTATTTCTCAACATCAGCATTTCTCAATGACGAGCTAGTGGGGCCTCCCAAAAATAAACATTCCAACCTAGTTCTATCTTCCACATGTTTTTCTGCTTCCTCTGAATATCCCTAGTAGACAGAATGTGCTTAGCATCCAGTTGGCACTCAAGAGACCTTTGCTACATGGATGTAAATACTCCAACAAAGAACAATCCCTCCAACTAAACTTTTAGTGACACCCATTCTAGAGTCTTTCTGCCTTACTTATGCTTTCTCTCCTGCATGTTCAAATGTTCTTCTGTCTGACCTATAAAAATATGCAAGTTTCATCTACAAACTGCTTCCTCTACAGCAGTTTCCCAAACTTTTGACATATGTGTACCCCTTCTATAATTTTTGTAACGCTGAGTACCTCTCGTCAAAAAGAAAAGGAAAAAAAAAAAAAAGGATGTATTAGGTACAGCTAAGGATGGTGCAGTGCATATCCCCACCAAATTCCGGTGCAATGCGTACCCCCACCAAACTCTTCCCGTACCCCTGGGGGTATGCATACCACACTTCGGGAAACACTGCTCTACAGCATAGGCCAGTGGTCGGCAAACTGCGGCTCTTTGGCCCCTTGAGTGTGGCTCTTTCACAAAATACCATGTGCGGGCGTGCATGTACAGTGCGATTGAAACTTTGTGGCCTGTGTGCAAAAGTCGATTTTTGGCTCTCAAAAGAAATTTCAATCGTTGTACTATTGATATTTGGTTCTGTTGACTAATGAGTTTGCCGACCACTGGCATAGGGAATTAGTCAATAATATGGTTATAACTACATTTGGTGTCATGTGAGTAGTAGATTTATCGGGTGATCACTTTGTAAATTATATAATTGTCTAACCACTATGCTGTACACCTGAAACTAATATATTGTATATAAACTGCAATAAAAAAAATTTTAATTTTAGTCCTCACCTGAGAATATTTATTCCACTGATTTTAAGAGTGGAATAGAAGGGGGGAGAGAAACATCAATGTAAAAGAGACACATCGACTGGCTGTCTGTGGAACACGTCCCAGCAGGGTATCAAACCTGCAACCCAGGTAAGTGCCCTTTGACCTGAAATCAAACCCAAGAGGCTGGCACTCTAAACTCTGAGACAGAATGGTCAGTGCTAAACATTTTTAAAAATAAAGTCTTAAGGAAAGGAAAACCCTGCTTCCTCATCCTGCTCACTATATACACTCCCTGCTTGCTACACATAGTCCACCTTATTGAGTTTTGTTTGTGAGGGACACAGACTATATAGCACCTGCTGATCTATATCCACAGTGCCTGACACATACTGAGTAAACTATATTTTAAGTTCTAGTTGTCATGTTTAACTTTATGTAATCTCTTTCCTTAGTCTTGATTTCTTTCACTGCTTAAGAAGGAAAATGCTTTACGAAGTATCTCCCTACCTAGACTTTGAAATCCAGAAACTACTGACAGTTTCTAGTTCTCTCAATTTTTTTTTCTTATTTTAACTTTCCAATGTATCTGGAATGTCTTAAGAAAACCATAGTTCCCTCCCATCCTTCCATCCCAAAGCCTTTCACACACTCGCTACTCTCTACAAACTCCTCAAACCCAACATATTCAAAAGGAAACAGTCACTGTGCACCCTGACCTGTTATTACATTATCTGTAAAGCTAGAGTCCTGGCAATAATACCGTACTGTAACAATGCTGCTCTCTTCACCTGTGCCCTAAATTCTGACCTTGCAAATCTCAAGTCTTGTCCTCTGCCTCTATCTTACTAACAATCCTTCACTCCCGGCTCCTGCCTCCACTCTCACACCCTTGATTTACCCTTTGCAAATCACACTAGAAAGTAACCACATTACCTCACCTCTTAAACCCTGGTTAGGGGGTGGGGGTGGGCAGACAAAGACACGCTACATGTAGCCAGAAAGTCCTCCAGTGCACCTCCATGAACCAGCACTGCCATCCCACAGCACCCCAACTTCCAGTAAAACAAAATAACTGGCCATTCCAAAAGCCTTTTCTATTGTTCTATAAGTCATGCCTTTGTAGAAGCTGCTCATTCTGCTCAAATGCAGACACTGGCTTCTCTGCCCAGAGGGTCCTTACTTCTTTAAGAACTGGTCCAAGAGTCCTTTCTCCTTGACCTCCCTTTGAACTTCCCTTCACAAAGTTTCAATTCATATACTCTTTTCCACAGTATTTCTTAGACTGTACTAAATCTACTAGTTATTAGTTGATAATTTTTCCTCTTCTTCCAGGCTAAAAGTAATTCGAACTAGAGACTACAGTTGCACTCATCCTTGAATTATGAATAACTATGACTGTGCCTAACCTATATAATATTGATAAAAGCCTAATATGCTAAGTGTCTGGTTGTCCGGTCATCCATTCAACAAATCAAAACGTAATAGGCCAATGATGTACTAAGGTCACTCAACTGCTCACTATGATGTGCACTGACCTTCAGTGGGCAGACAGTCGACCAGTTGACTAATCATTATGATGTGCACTGACCACCAGGGGGTAGATGCTTTGACTGGTAGGTTAACTTGCTGCTGGGGGTCCGGCCGTTCAGGCCCGAATGAGATGGGACATGCCCTGGAACCCTCCCATGTTCCCTCCCAGGCTGGCCAACCCCCCATGTCCCTACCTGGCCCCGATTGTGCACCAGTGGGGCCCCTCAGCCTGGCCTGTGCCCTCTCGAAATCCAGGACCCCTCGGAGGATGTCTGAGAGCTGGTTTCTGCCTGATCCCAGAGACCAGGCTGAGGGACCCCACTGGTGCACAAATTCGTGCACCAGGCATCTAGTGATATATATATAAGGCTACATGTGTATGAGTAAATGCCATCTCATCCTCAGCAGCACACATATTTTGTGGAGAAGGGCCACATTTAAGCCACTGAGATTCTGGATCAGCTTCTATTTTTAAGGACCTAGAATTTGAAAGGAACTAAGTGAACAGTGTATAGTTATGAACAAACTTATTTTATTCATTTTATTTAATTAATTCATTTATTTAGACAACTGTCTAGAATGGAGCCTAAACAAACATTCAACTAGACTCTGAAAATAGACTACTACTCAGCCAAAACATGGCCTCCAAATGGTCCCCAATTACTCATGATCTTAAAATCCCAAACAATTTGACAAGTAACTATAGCCAAGAAGAATCCCGTGATGGGGATGTTAAGTTTTAATTTAAAGAAAACTTAACATCCCCATCACGATCTGGCAAAGTGTACTGAATAAATAACCAGTGAAGAAAAGGGTAAGTAAATAAGTCAATATAAAAAAGAACAATGTCCCTATATTTTCAAAGCAATGGTACACTGACAAAATCTGAAATATGAAGAAATCAACTACAATGATAGCCCAAGAGATTGAGATACTAAAGTGACAGAAGAGAACTGTTCTGTTAAGTACAAACAGACTGACTACTGTAGGCTAAAGGAGGCATAACCAGAACCAATCAGAAAGCTTAAACAGAATCAAATACACCGAATCTTATATAACAAATACAGTAACAAAAGCGACAATCTTCTTAAATACAAAACTAAAATCTAGCCCTAGCAACTTTGGCTCAGTGGATAGAGCACCGGCCTGCAGATTGAAGGGTCCTGGGTTCAATTCCAGACAAGGGCACATACCTCAGTTGGAGGCTCAATCCTCGCCCTTGGTCCTGGTATGTATGGGAGGAAAACAAACAATGCGCCTCTCTCACACTGATAGGCCCCCACCACTCCCTTTACTCTTTCTAAATATCAACGAAAAAAATAGCCTCGGGTGATATATATAAAAAGACAAAACTAGGTACTGATTTTCAGCACTACTTTCTGCTCTATAGTAGGAGCAGGCTATGAAGGGTCCCCAAATCTTGGGCCAAACACCTAAATCCCTTAGATGACTACCTACTCTGATCTAACAGCCAGAATAATTTTCTTATTACCAATTTAGTTCCAGCATCCATGATGTAGGCAAGGCAGTTCCTTTGAAATGGACAAGAGAATTGTAGTCAATGTAAATGATAACTGTTTACTGGATTATTGAAAAATAGCACCTGAGCCGGGACCGGTTTGGCTCAATGGATAGAGTGTTGGCTTGGGGACTGAAAGGTTCCGGGTTCGATTCTGGTCAAGGGCATGTTCCTTGGTTGCAGGCATATCCCCAGTAGGGGGTGTGCAAGAGGCGGCTGATCGATGACTCTCTCTCATTGATGTTTCTAACTCTCGATCTCTCTCTCTGTATAAAATCAATAAAATATATTAAAAAAAAAAAAAAAAAAAGAAAGAAAGAAAGAAAAGAAAAATAGCACCTGAGACACACTGACAACATGGAGTTCCCCAAAGTGTAACCTGTGATCTCACCAAGGCAATGCCATCTTGGAAGAGCACCTCCTTGACCACATATATTGTCTCTTTCAGCTATGACACTGAATAACATACATAGCAAATGAACAACCTAGTGCACTCCTTCATTTAGAGATCTCCACTCAAAAGAGGGAAAAAATGCAATGTATCATACCTTCTGTCTCTCCCTCTTCTGAAGATATTAGAATTGTTCCTTTCCCATCCTCGATTTGGACATCTGGTGCCACCATAGCAAATTTTTCTTTCACAATCTATAGAAGAAAAAAAGATTCAAAATATTGATATATGTAATTAAAGACCATGAAACCTTTCAACCCTTTGTTCCATAAAGGATCTTACTTTCCCCTTCCATTGGAAAGGGGCCAAATGGTCCTATAAGATACCTTAGGCCAGCACAAGTTGGAATTCACCCAATTACTTCCTGCCCATGTCCCATTCTCATGTTTGACCACTGATGAAGATCAGAGACAGCTTTCTCCAAATGGGGGACTGAGAACTCTTTGATTGGCTCTTGGTATATTGCCCCTTCCTGCAAATTAGATACTGAGCTAGACATATAACACAATTCCTTTTAGTCTCCACGACAATCCTCCACTGGCAGATGTCTTACAGATGCAAAACTTCTCATTAACCTGATTCTCAGATGGTGTTCTCCTTCCCAAATTCCATTTCACTTTAAGTTCCAAGATGGATCAAAAGCGGTCATATTCTGTCAAATCTACAAGCTCCTAAAAGGGGGGGAGAAGGAGGCGGGAAAACTTCTCTAAAAGTTTATAAAGAGAATTACCTTTACACTCAAGAATGAGTAGATACAAGCTATAATTATTTCCTAAGAAAAAAGGTAGGGCTCTAGCTGGTTTGGCTCAGTGGATAGAATGTCAGTCAGCCTGTGGACTGAAAGGTCCCGGGTTCGATTCAAGGGCACATGCCTGGGTTGTGGACTCAATCCCCAGTGTGGTGCATGCAGGAGGCAGCCAATCAATGATTCTCTCTCATCACTGATATTTCTGTCTCCTTCTCCCTCTCCCTTTCTCTCATAAATCAAATTTTTTAAAAAATATATTTTATTGATTTTCCAGACAGAGGAAGGAAGAGGGATAGAGAGCTAGAAATGTCGATGAGACAGAAATATCGATCAGCTGCCTCCTGCACACCTCCTACTGGGGTTTGTCCGCAACCAAGGTACATGCCCTTGACCGGAATCGAACCTGGGACCTTTCAGTCCGAAGACCAATGCTCTATCCACTGAGCCAAACCGGTTTCAGCTCATAGATCAAATTTTTAAAGAATTTTAAAAAAGAACATCTTTAAATTTTTTGTTAATTTATTTATGATCAAAACTTTTAAAAATATTATGGGGGGGTGGAAACCATCGTCTGCTGGCTAGTATTCCAAGTCCTGCCATTTTCCTATCCAAAATATAAGATCCAATCAACATGCTCTGTATATCCATTTCTTGGAGAAAGGACATTTCCTTTAAGCAGCCTTTAGAACCATGAAGGTGTGTGTGTGTGTGTGTGTGTGTGTGTGTGTGTGTGTGTGTGTATATCATGATGATGGATATAATCAGAGAATAATCTGAAGTGACTCCAAAAGTGGGAAGTGATACCCATTGGGGCCATTTTTTATATGTTCCCTAATAAAAACACTACAACCTGGGAAGCTCATGGTGGCAAGCTGGAAGTGTTCAAGCAGGAAGGCAGTAACTAGGGCAGCAATAGTGGCAGGATTAGAAAGGGCCAGGAAAGGCTGCTCCATCCGTGCACCTGGAGAGCCAGCCAGAGTGTGATGTAGGTGCAGCGCCACAGCACTGCCCTGGATTTCATTCTGCAGTGGGGGTTTTGCAAGCAGAATTCCAGTGGCTGGCGCAACTCTGGTGCATATATTATTTTTAAATTAAAGATGGCGGCGGAGTAAGTAGATGCTAACAGACTCACTCCTAGGATCAAGTTGGAATTACACTAAAAAATAAAAAAAAATAAAAAAAAATGTCATCCTGAATAATCAACTGAAAACTAGCTGGAGAGAATCCTGATAACCAAGAATGCCAAGTGATAGAGCATCAGTCTATGGATGGATGGATGGATGGATGGAAGGAAGGAAGGAAGGAAGGAAGGAAGGAAGGAAGGAAGGAAGGAAGAGCACAAATAAAGAACACGTTGGAAGGAATACACAGCAGATTAGGGGAAGCTGAGGATCGAATCAGTGAATTAGAAGATAGGTTAGAAAAATTAATCAGAGAACAAACAAGAAAAAACAGGAGGACAAGCTTAAGAGAGAGATGGGACAGAGAATATGTTTGAAGAAACAATAGCAGAAAACTTCCCTAAACTGGTGAAGGAAAAAGTCACACAAGTTAAGGAGCCACAGAAGAGTCTCAAGCAAGAAGTACCCAAACAGGCCCAAGCCCAGACACATCATAATTAAAATGCCAAAAATTAAACACAAAAGAGATTCTTAAAGGCAAAAAGAAAAAAGCAAATTGTTAGGAGCTCCCAAAGGAGCCGTCATCAGACTTCTCATCAGAAATTCTACAGAACAGAAGGGAATGGCACGAAGTACTCAAGGTTATGGAACACAAAGATCAGAAACCAAGATTACTATATCTAGCAAGGCTATCATTCAAAATAGACAGTCAAAACTGGGTTGACTTAGTGGATCAAAATAGACAATCAAATAAAGAACTTCCCAGACCAAAAAAACAAACAAAAAACAAACAAACAAAAAAAAGGCTAAACGAGGAGTTTATCACCACCTAGCAAGCATTACAAGACATGCTAAAGGGATATAAAGGGATTGCTGTAATGAGAAGAAAGAGAGAAACTTAGGCATACAGAATTAAAATGTTAATAAATAAGAACCTTAAATGTAAATGGATTGACTGTTCCAATAGAAAAACATAGAATAGCTGAATGGATACAAAAACATGACCCAACTATCTGCTATTTACAAGAGACCCACCTCAGAACAAAAGACACACGGGATGAGAAAAAAAGTTTCCAGGCAAATAGGGGGAGGAAAAAAAAGCTGGGGTACCAATACTCTTAACTGAAAAAATAGATGTCAAAATGAAGGCCATTATAAGAGACAGTAAATAACACTACATAATACTAAAGAGATCGTTCTAACCAGAAGATATAACCCTGATAAACTTATATTATATTCACCCAATATAGGAGCACCTACACACACACACACACACACACACACACACACACACACACACACACACACACATATATATATATATAAAACTTCTAGAGGACTGTAAGGGAGAGATTAACAACAATACAGTCATAGTAGGGGACTTTACACCCTGCTGACCTCAATGGATAGATCTTCCAGATAAAAACTTAACAAGAAAACAGTGACTATAAAGGATACACTAGATCAAATGGGTTTAATTGACATTTATAGAACATTTTACCCCACAGCTGCAGAATATACATTCCTCTCAAGTATACATGAATCATTTCCAAAGGCAGACCACATGTCAGGACACAAACAAATCTGTAACAGTTCATATTGAGTATCTTAGATCACAGTGAAATGAAATTAAAAATCAACTACAGTAAAAATACTCCAAAATATTCAAACACATGGCGATTTAAATATCATGTTATTAAACAATGAATGGGTTACCAATGAGATCAAGAAAGAAATAAAAGCCGGGACCGGTTTGGCTCAATGGATAGAGCGTCAGCTTGGGGACTGAAGGGTCCCGGGTTTGATTCCAGTCAAGGGCATGTACCTTGGTTGCGGGCATATCCCCAGTAGGGGGTGTGTAAGAGGCAGCTGATCGATGACTCTCTCTCATCGATGTTTCTAACTCTCTCTCTCCCTTCCTCTCTGCACAAAATCAATAAAATATATTAAAAAAATAAATAAATAAAAAATAAAATAAAAACTTCCTGGAAGCAAATGAAAATCTCCAGGACACAGTAAAAGCAGTCCAGAGAGGGAGGTTCATAGCACTTATAGGCCTACCTAAAAAAAAAAAAAAAATAATAATAATAATAAACTGCTTAACCTTCCAATTTACAGAATTAGAAAGAGAACAAAAAAAGCTCAGAGTAAGTAGAAGGATATAACAGATTAGAACAGAAATAAATGACAGAGACTAAAAAAACAATACAAAACAAATCTATGAAACCAAGAACTGGTTCTTTGAAAGGATAAACAAGATTGATGGGCCGTTAGCCAAACTCATCAAGAAACAAAGAGAGCATTAGCTGGTTTGACTCAGTGGATAGAACATTGGCTGCAAACTGAAGGGTCCAGGGTTTGATTTCCGGTCAAGAGCATATGCCTGGTTTGCAGGCTTGATTCCAGTAGGGTTTGTGCAAGAGGCAGTTGATCAATGAAAATCTCTCTCATCACTCATATTTCTCACGCTCTCTCTCTCCTTCTCTCTTCCTCTGAAATCAATAAAAGTATATTTTAAAAATGAAAGAAAAAAAAAACAAAGAGACAATTCAAATAAATACTATCAGAAATGAAAGTGGAGAAGTAACCATTGACACCACAGAAATACAAAAGATTATAATACTATGAACAACTACATGTCAGCAAGCTGGAGTATAAGAATGAAATGGACAAATTCCTAGAAAAATACAATTTCCCAAAATTAAATCAGAAAACCTGAATAGGCCAATAACAACAGTGGAAATAGCAGCAGTAATAATAATAAAAAAATTTCCCATCAAACAAAGCCCAGGTCCAGATGGCTTCACAGGGGAATTTTACCAAACATTCAAAGAACTAACACCTATACTCTTCAAACTATTCAAAAAATCCAAGAGAAAGGAACACTCCAATCTTTTTTTAGGAGGCCAGCATTACCCTAATTCCAAAACCAGATAAAGACCAAAGAAAGAAAATTACAGGCCAATATCACTGATGCACATAGATGCAAAAATCCTCAACCAATTTTATGAGCAAATCGCATTCAGCAATATATTAAGAAGATCATACACCATAACCAACTGGGATTTATTCCAGGGATGCAAGGCTGGTATAATGCTTGCAAATCAATAAATGTACATCACATAAGCAAATTGAAAGATAAAAATCTCGTGATCATATCAATAGATGCAGAAAAGCATTTGAAAAAACCCAAGACCTGTTTCTGATAAAAACTCTCAGCAAAGTGGGACTAGAGAGAGCATATCTCCATATGACAAAGGCCATAAGACAAACCTAAAGCAAACATCAAACATCATACTCAATGGGCAAAAACTACAATCATTTCCCCTAAGAACAGGAACAAGACAGGAATTTCTGCTTTCACCACTCTTATTCAACAAAGTCCTAGCCACAATGATCAGACAAGAAAAAATAAAAGGCATCCAAATTGGAAAGAAGTAAAACTCTCATTATTTATAGGTGATAAGATAGTGTACATAAAAAACCCCAAAGACTCCACCAAAAAACTATTAGATTTAATAAATGAATTTGGCTATGCAAGAGGACACAAAATCAACAACCAAAAATCGATGACCTTTTTATACACCAAATAATGTATTCTCAGAAAGAGAAACTAAGCAAATTATACTAATCAATCTCATTTACCACTGAGATTTGCATCAAAAAAATTAAGATACTTGGAAATAAACTCAACCAAGGAGGTAAAAGACTTGTTTTTTTAAACTATGAGGCATTGAAAAAGAGATAGAAGATATAAACAAGTGGAAGAATATATTGTGTTCATGGATTGGTAGATTCAACATCATTAAAATACTATCCAAGGCAATCTATAGATTCAGTGCAATCTCTATTAAAATACCAAAATCAGCCAACTGGGTCTGAGTCAACCCCACCGCCACCACCACCACCACTCAGGTTCTCTCATCTCATGGTACACCTGTGAGGCAGCCTGCAGGCCAACGTCTCCTCAGCATGGAGTATATCCATACGACCAAGGTTGAGCAAGTGCAATTACTTGACCGAGCCGAAACCAGTTTGGCTCAGTGGTAGAGCGTTGGTCTGTGGACTGAAATGTCCCAGGTTCGATTGCGGTCAAGGGCATGTACATTGGTTGCGGGCACATCCCAGGTAGGGGGTGTGCAAGAGGCAGCTGGTCAATGTTTCTCTCTCATCGACATTTCTAGCTCTCTCTCACTCTCCTGTCCTCTCTGTAAAAAATCAATAAAATATATTAAAGAAAAAGAAATTATTTGACCGATTCAATACCAACAACAAGTCATTAATAGGAACACTATATCTTACAGCCACACATCTATTATTTATAGACTCTCAGCAGAAAGAAACCTGGACTTTGCATCCTCATATTGGCTCAGTGGAGGAACTGGCTTTGATGACTTTTGGATGCCCACTTGTCATTCAGTGCAAGAACTTCAGGATTGTGCATTTCACTGTTTCCAAAGAGATTGCCTCGATATTTACAACTCTATGCTACAACTGTCAAAACAAGCAAAATACGAAGATCTCTCTGTGTTTTCTTATAACCCCCCCAAAAATGATTCTGAATGACTGAGAGGTTGGGAGCTTATTGACCTTGCTGAGGAATATAAGAGAACGGTGTGCCAAATTCAAACTGGCAGTTGTCTGATGCCAACCGAGAATATATTTTATTGATTTTTTACAAAGAGGAAAGGAGTAATTGTTGGTAGTTCTAAGTTCCATAGCATAGCAAGGGAAGATTTCCAGTTCTTTCCTACTATCATTAAAATAAGGAGAGAGGAAGGGGGGGGGGGGATAGAAACATCAGAGATGAGAGAGAATCATTGACCTGCTGGCCTCCTGCATCTCCCGCACTGGGGATACAGCCTGCAATCTGGCATGTGCCTGACTGGGAATCAAACTGTGACTTCTGTTCATAGGTCGATGCTCAAAAACTGAGCCTCACTGGCCGGGCTACTGTGTTTTAAAAATCCAAGAACTGTTTCTTGTTTTCTGAACTTTCTAGATAGTTTTCTATTTGTGGAAGTGATTAACTTACTTCTTTAAAGATACTAAAGATTTTTTTAAAAGTATTCTTATGCCCTCACATTAGTTAACCTTTGTTTAGTTTCTCTTTTCTTTTTCTTTTGTTAGTTTGATTTTCATATTTTTCAGATATCTGATTCTTGGCCTGCCTCTCATATTTAAGAGTGAGATACTACAAAGCTGTTGATAAGTTTATATACATACCCAGTAATCCCACTCCTAGGATTATATCCCAAGAAACTAGAAACTCCAATCAGAAAGGATATATGCACCCCTATGTTCATAGCAGCACAATCTACAATAGCTAGAATTTGGAAACAGCCTAGGTGCCCGTCAGATGATTGGATCAAAAAACTCTGGTACATCTACACAATGGAATATTATGCTGCCATAAAAAAGGAATTATCATCATTTGCAGCAACCTGGATGGAATTGGAGAACATCATGCTGAGTGAAATAAGCTAGTCAATGAAAGAGAAACACCACATGACCTCACTCATTTATGGATAATAAAGAACATTATAATTGATGTCTGGTTGGCCATTCAACCAATCAAAGTGCAAGATGCTAATGATATGCTAAGGCTGCTCATCCGCTTGCTATGACATGCACTGATAACAAGGGGACAGACCCTCTGACTGGTAGGTTAGCATGCTGCTGGGGTCCAGCCAATAGGGACTGAGTGAGATGGGCCAGACACACGCTGGACCTTCCTACAGTCCTCCCCAGCGGGCCAACCTCCCACGTCCCTTCCTGACCCTCATTGTGCATGGGTGGGATACCTCGGCCTGGCCTGCGCCCTCTTGCAATCTGGGATCCCTTGGGGAATGTCAGAGAGCTAGTTTTGGCCTGAAGCTATGACACACACTGACCATCAGGGGGCAGATACTCAATGCAGGAGCTGCCCCCTAGTGGTCAGTGAGCTCTCACAAGGGGGAGTGCTACAAAGCCAGAAGCTGAGGAAGCACAGTGGAGGTAGTGGGAGCGGTCCTAAACCATCAGCTGGACATCCCCCAAGACTTACACTCCCAGATTACAAAAGAGCTCAAGCTCAGCTGAGGAACCCCCCCACCCTGAGTGCAACCAAATGGGGTGGACTGAAGGGTCTCGGGTTCGATTCTGGCCAGGAGCACATGCCTGGATTGTGGGCTCAATCCCCTGTGAAGGGTATGTAAGAGGCAGCCAATTGATGATTCCCTCTCATCATTGATGTTTCTATATCTCCCTCTCCCTTCCTCTCATATATATATTTTCATATATATATATTTTCATATATATGGAAATAAAAATAAAAAATAAATGCTGCATCTCTTCAACAAAACATCACCAGACTCTTTTAGGATACTTTTCTATCTGCCAAAAATACAGAATTTATACACTGGGAAATAGTGAGCAAAGCGTTTCTTGTTTGCCAAGATACTGTACCACCTCTGCAATGCCCATGGTGCATTTTGTAGACAAATGCAGTTAATTCCTTTCTGGGATATGAGGCACGTATTCTGGAATAACAGAGAAAAAAGCCAGCAGGATCCTAAATGGTAAAGTGATCAAGGATATCAGAGCAACACACTTCAGTAACCAGAGTCTTTCAGACTAATTATGAGGCTTTTAGTTTACAAAAGGAAACTTGAGAGGTTTTTTTCTTTTAGGAAAAGGAACAAAGTTGTGAAAGAGAATTAGCCTCTGCACTTACCTTATCTTGTAAAGTGAGAACAGTCACTTTATGGACATTCAGTCGCACAGTCACCTCTGGCTTGCTGGCACATACGTAACAATTAAGGTTGGGGGGATCCAGTGCACAAGGCACTAGGAGCTTCTTCCTTGGGTTTGGTTGTTTATTCAAAAAAATCTTTGGAGGAGAAAAAACATAAACAGAAATCAGAAATTTAAGCCACAGTTTTACACAATGCATCTGAAGCTTACTATCTTTTATTTAAGTTATTTAACAATGACAAATATTCCCTTCTAGACGGCAAACAGAATAAGGAAAGCATGACCTTAAGAGCCTGATTTCCCAAACTTCTTTTCAAATAAGCTACCACATAGAAAGGAGTGTGGGTGGAAGCTGAAGAGAGCAAAGAGGGAATAGTGACAGAAGAAATAAAATAAAATTTAAAAATTAGCTACCATGTAAAAGGCCTTGGCTTACTGAAAATAAATTTACTTATTTAGCAAACTAAAGGCTTAGCTATCATTAAATCAGTTTTTGGGTGTCTTCCTAGTAGTTATTCTTATCAATTTTAAGCTAACTTCTCAACTAATGAGAATGCTTTCACAGATGTATGGAACCAATGTGCTTACCTTCCTTTTCAAATTTTCTATGACTACTATATTAACATTTACATAATTAAGAGGAAAAAAATAATGTATTTCTGGCACTATAAGCACCTAGTTACCATTTCTCTAATAGCCAAACAATAAGAACCAATGCAAGTAAAAAAAAAAAAAAAAAAAAAAGACTACACTGAAATTTAAAAAGGTGCCTGGCCAGTGTGGCTCAGTGGTTGAATATCAACCCATGAACTGAGTTTACATGTTGGATTATCTATCAGGGCACATGCCCAGATTGTGGGCTTGATCCCTAGGAGAGGGCGTGCAAGAGGCAGCCGATTGGTGTTTCTCACTCATTCAGGTTTCTATCTCTCTATCCCTCTCCCTTCTTCACTCTCTAAAAATCAATAAAAATATATTTAGCCGAAACTGGTTTGGCTCAGTGGTAGAGCATCAGTCTACGGACTGAAAGATCCCGGGTTCGATTCGGTCAGGGGCATGTACCTTGGTTGCGGGCACATCCCCGGTAGGGGGTGTGCAAGAGGCAGCTGGTCGATGTTTCTCTCTCATCGACGTTTCTAGCTATCTATCTCATTGGTTCTCTCTCTGTAAAAAAGACAATAAAATATATTTTTTAAAATAATAAAATAAATTTAAAAATAAATTAAAAGGCCCTAAACTCATACTACTATGAAGCTTGGAGAGCACTAGCCAGATTCAATACAAAGAAATGTCAGGACAATACTGAAAGCTTACATACAATTCATCACCTTGTGACTACTAGGTTCTGTGGTATTTGCTAAGATTAATTAATTCTAAAGAGAAAAGTCCCATAGATTCCCACAGTAAATTCCTTGAGGCAGTAAGACATAGGAAAAGACCTCCTGTATAACAGTATTACTGTTACTAGTCCTTATACTAGTGGGTCTGGAAGCAGGGTACAATGGGGGAACAGATTTGATCTTGAGCTTCACTGAAAAGGTAACTGTGTCTAAGCAAACTGACAATAATGAAATCAAGCACTAATACTACTAATATCCAGACTAACACTATAACCCATCCTGAAATTCATTATGGACAAATAAAATCCAGGAATAAGTATCATCAGCTCAAGAAAGAATAGAGCTGAGATGGCAAGGAACCATTAAAGATGTTACAGGAACAGTAAACATTTTAATAAACTCAACAATTAGTAATGTTTGTGAGCTCAAAGGGATATTGTAGCCACAGGATAAATTAAGGCTTCTATAAAAAAGGTAGAAAAAAGTGAAGTTCTTAGAAATTAAAAATACGTTAAGTAAAAATTTTTTTCCTTGTATTTTTATTTTCTTTATTGATTAAGATATTCTATGTGTCCTTATCTCTCCCCTTTAGCTAAAAAAATTTTAATAAAAAGATGGTAGACTGACATGATTCTACATCAAGCATGTCCAACTTGCAGCCCACAGACGGCATGTGGCCCATAACGAATATTTTTGTGGCCAAGCCAATATAATGTTCTAAGAAAGATTTTGTAACTTAATTTTTACAATATCCTGTTATACATAATTAATAACAAACTACAGCGTTCGCTAATGACTACTATAATATAATCGTGTTGCTCTCATTTTCCTTAGGCTTCTTAGCGCAGGCGCACCATTTCTCTCCACTCATAGTAGCAGTGAATATTTTAGCAGCCGATTAGTCTTGGACAGACTTGTTTGGTGTGCACAACAGGAAATATTTTATTTTTGGAGAACAAGAAAAATAGGTTTATTTGTGTAACGCTTATTAATTTATGCAGTTATTGTGCCTGATAAGTTAATATTAAAAAAAAATGTTAACTTTTATTGGCCCTTAGCCTTTGTGTTTAACATGCTTGTTCTATATTCCTTCACCTTGAAATTTCATGAAAACAGTAAAATATTTAAATACTACATCAGCTGGAACCAGTTCGGCTCAGTGGATAGAGAGTCGGCCTATGGACTGAAGGGTCCCGGGTTCGATTCTGGTCAAGGACATGCACCTTGGTTGTGGGCACATCCCCAGTGGAGGTGTGCGGGAGGCAGCTGAATGATGTTTCTCTCTCATCGGATGTTTCTGACTCTCTATCCCTCTCCTTTCCTCTCTGTGAGGAAATAAATAAAATATATATTTAAAAAAATTATTTTCGCTGTAAGTCAGAACCCCTACATAAGCATGTCACTCACATGGAGCACATACACAGCAGTAATGAAGTGAAACAGTAAAAAAATTTAAAAGAAAGGTAACAATTCCTGACCTTTACTTGTGGTATATAATAAAAAACATAAAGCACATACGTTGAAATGATGGAACTTCTTAAAAAATAAATGGGTGTTAGCGACATAACCACAAAACAACATACATGTACATTGAGTAGATGTAACGAGAGGACTGCCTGTATACACCTCACAGACAAACAATATTCCTGTACTTTAAGAGAGATCTGGCAGACATAACAGTAGACTCATTCATAGAGATTTCAGGCAGTAACATTATCAAATAATATAAAACAGGTTTAAAGTATAATGATTAAAGAATATAAAGGACTATACATGGGGATGTAAAGCACAGCATAGGGAATAGTCAATAATCTATATTATAAAAACCTTGTGGGCCGAAACCAGTTTAGCTCAGTGGATAGAGCATTGGCCTGTGGACTGAAAGGTCCCAGGTTCAATTCTGGTCAAGGGCATGTCCCTTGGTTGCAGGCATATCCCCAGTAGGGGGTGTGCAAGAGGCAGCTGATCGATGTTTCTCTCATCGATGTTTCTAACTCTCTATCCCTCTCTCTTCCTCTCAATAAAATACATATTAAAAAAAAAAAAAAACCCTAGTGGCCCTAATGCCATAACGACCAAAGAGGTCACCAGGAGGCTCTGTGTGCGGCGAGGCACGTGAGGGTGGGGAGGTGGGTCTTGTGCGATTTCACACTCTGGGTCATTAGTATTGTAATAACTACATATGGTGCTAGGTGGGTATTGAAAATATTGAGGGTAACACTATGTAAAAACATATGATTGTCTAACCACTATGCTGAACACATGAAATATAATATAAAATATAAACTCTAATTGGAAAAAAAAGAACAGGGGACTATAAAACCAAACAAAATTAAAAATCCATAATAAAGAACTCAGCATTCACAAGGTAACTGGAACAATTATTTTTCCACTGCTTTATACCATTTTCAATGATTTTTTAAAAAATTATCAGTTTAATGTGTGTGTGTTTTTTTAAATAAATTGTTTTTTTCTCTGCAAATATGTATTACTTTACAAAGAAAGTGAATAAAAAATACAAATTGAAATACTCACTGTTCTACACTGGTCCATTTTTCCTGATAAAATCTTCAATCCTTCCAATACTATTAACCCAGCAATCACCGCATTAGTAGTAGCGATAGCAGGAATAATGTTCCCTGCCATTGCTAAAAAGACATTAAAAATTTTAAAAAGAGATGAATATGTTTAAGTATTAAAATGGAAAATAATAGTATTTTAGATGTTACAACTGAAGTACAACTTACATTTTATATCAAATCTGCTTTTCATATTCATACTGAAAATATGCATTCTCAGGTTTGCAGCAGAGGTGACAAAATCCATTGCAGATGGGTCATCCTGCCAATAATTTAAATTTAACTTAATTTAATAAGTCTCCCCGCAATTTTCCTAATTTGATTAGTATTACTTTCAGAACAGTGCCTTTACATGTTTATAACATTGCAATCAGTCAACTAGAACATGAGATGGCCTTGCAGGAGATAAAGCCTTACAGTAGCATGGAGATTGGGTAAGTCTCATCATCAAATCTTCTGACCCAGGAATGCAATCTGACAAGAATGCCATGAGCCACCAGGAACTAATAGGAACTTGGACACCAATTCTATGAATTGACAATCACAATCTTTTCCTGTGTTTATAAGTCAGTACAGGCATACCTTGGATACAACACGTTCCATTCCAAACAATAGCAATGAACATTTTGCTGGTGGAGGGTCTTGGCTTCAATTTGTTAAAAAATAACATTTGCCCTAGCTGATATGGCTCAGTTGGATGGAGTGTCATCCTGTACCCGGGAAGGTCACTGGTTTGATTTGAGTCAGGGAACAATGGGAGGCAACTTACTGATGTATCTCTCTCACATCAATATTCCCCCCTTCTTTCTTCCCTCTCCAAAATCAACTTAAAAAGAGAGGACACAACATCCGTGAAATGTAACAAAGCAAAGTACAATAAAATGAGGCATGCAGCCATAACTAGTTTGGCTCAGTGGATCAAGTGTCAACCTGAAGACTGAAGGGTCCCAGGTTCGATTCCAGTCAAGGGGGTCAACCTTGGTTGCGGGCACATCCCCAGTAGGGGGTGTGTAGGAGGCAGCTGATCGATGTTTCTCTATCATCGATATTTCTAACTCTTTATCCCTCTCCCATCCTCTGTAAAAAAACAAATATATATATATATATATATATATATATATATATATATATATATATGTATATTTTTATGAGGTATGCCTATAATGAGAAGGTTGTTTTGACAAACAGATTCCAGGCATTAAAAAAAAAAAAAAAATGGAGCCTTTTTTTTTTTTTTTAAAAAGCTGTTCAGATAGTCTCAGAAATACCTGAACTCCTCCTTTAGGCTTTCCTTCTCCTTCATATATACACCACCGCACTACATTTGCTATTTCTTTTCAGAAATGACAATACAAAAAAAGTTTACCCATGACAACTTATATTCTTCATGAGACTATATCCTAGTTACTATAATCAGATTTCAGCAAGGTTTCCTGCTTTCCTCAGAAGATTCTATCCTACCCTATAATTCAGAAGTACAAAAGAAAGGAAAAATATTACCTCTTTATATATTTACTAGGGACTTGTTGCAGAAATATTCCTGTAAGACTTCCAGCCGGCTTTCCTCCCACCACTGCCACCTCCCGCCCCGTCCCCACCCCACCCCACCTTTCCCACAGTGGCGGGCAGGGCGGGCCCTCAGCCACCACCACAGCTGTGTTCTCATACACACACACACACACACACACACACACACACACACACACACACACACACGACCTGCTGCTGCCTCTGTGTCCGCACATTCGCCACTACTGCACGCCGCGCCCCGCCCACTCGCCCTGCCAAGGAGGCCAGCTCACCCAACCCCGCACAGCCAGTGCTTTCCCTCCTGCAGCCCCAGGCACCTTGCTTTCCACTTTCCCTCCCTCTTCCTTCTATGTTGTCTTCAGTCTTCACCCCTCCCACCCTCCGCAAATGCAAATTAACCGTCATCTTTGTTGGGTTAATTTGCATTATCGTGCTGATTGCCTGGTGGGTGTAGCAGAGTGGTGGTTAATTTGCATATTACTCTATTATAATGTAGGATTGGTTGGCTATGTAACTTCAGCAAATCAAAATTCCCTAATCTGTTAAATAGAAAAATTATATAAACACTTCGGAATGTTGTGATTGAAATTAGGTTGTTTCCAATCCTGAGAAGGTGAAATATTTAAAGTATCCAACACAGTGTCTATTAGTTACTTCCCTAGGCAACTAGCTTATCACACCCCTTAAGTGTAGATTTTACTCAGAGGGTAACAATTCCCACTTCCAAGGTTTCGTTTTCTAGCCCCGGTGTACAGATGAAAACCTCCCAAATCCCTGTTGTAACAATAACAATGAAAATATTTGTAAAACATAGTTTCTCCTAATATAAAATATACCTAAAGACTGTTTACAAGAATCCCCCAAAATCTTAATTCACTCTCTTCATTTTAGATGTCTGATTCAACTACAATTCCAAAATTTGCACAAAGTTATCATATTGTTTGCTAAATCTAACAACACTTTTCCGCTTAAAATTCATGGAAAATCTTTACTGTTACAGGAAAACAAACTTTTGTAACAGATATATCACTAATAGCCTTGGAAAATATTGACTGCAATTAGAAATAATCCTCAAAATATGACATCTAGCTCTGGCTGGTATGGTTCAGTTGGTTGAAAGATTGCTAGATTCTGGTCAAGGCACATACCGGGGTTGGGGGCTTGATCCCCAGTAGGGGGTATGCAGGAGGCAGCCAATTGACATTATGCTCTCACATGTTCCTCTCTCTCCCTTCCTCTCTAAAAATCAATAAATATATTTAAAAAACATACTTCTACATGTAAAAGAAATATGACATCTAATTGCAAAATATTATTACATGTTAATTTGTAGGGATAATTACATGTCATTTTTGTATTGAGGGGTCTTAGACTTCTAAAACAGTATTACACTGAAACCGGTTTGGCTCAATGGATAGAGCGTCGGCCTGGGGTCGATTCTGGTCAAGGGCATGTACCCTGGTTACGGGCACATCCCAGTCGGGGGTGTGCAAGAGGCAGCTGATCAATATTTCTCTCTCATCGATGTTTCTAACTCTCTATCCCTCTCTCTTCCTCTCTGTAAAAAATCAATTAAATATACATTTTTCTAAATAAAAGTTATTACTATTGCAACAGAAAGGCAATTTTATTTCTTTCAAGGTCAAATGGCCCAAAGCTATTGTCACCAAAAGGATTTTGATTTATATTAAATCTATACCACCAGGAAGCTTTCTTAAGTCTGTAAAACATTTTACCACAATATATTCACAATATTTCTCTTATCAATATAATTATAAATCATGAGCACATTAGAATCTAAATAACATTTTGTGATATTGCCCGAATTCATGTATAGAAAATTCAGTTTAATGTAGAAATTAAAGATAAGAAGATGCAAACATTATGCCCTCAAAACCTGGAAAAATAAACAATATTCAAAAATGACTAGCTTCTGACTATAGTTCAAAAACTAAAATATATGCTTGATATTTCAAAACGAACCTTGTCCCAAATGAGCTCAGCTCCATCCCCCTTTTCTGCTAAATGATCTCTCAAAGTCTCGATGCTCTTTGAAAAAAGACATGCATAGCTCTTTACATCTAGCACTTGCTGGTCTTTTAGACCCAACTGGGGTTCGTTTTGTTGATCTACTGCATTGATTTCTTCTCCTAAGGGAAAAAAACATTAGAAATTTCACATAAAAAATATTAGACATCATTCCTCTACTGTTAAACAATTCAATGCCTGACCAATAAGAAAAGTAAGTAATATGAAACAAATTGTACTGAAGTAATATCACTATGATACAAATATGTATATAAGAAAATTGCTAATATTGAGATGGGAAAGGTACAAGACTGATTCAGTACCAAAGGGTTATTGGGGGATTCAAGGATATAATAAAGATGATGAACATTATGCCCAGCACATAGTAAGCACTCAGTAAGTGCAAACTATTAGAGCCATAATCCATCACTATAGAAACCTGCTTCAAACTGACATCCCTAATCTCCTGGGACCATTTAATATCCAATGTACTGACCACTGCTGTGTACACATCAAATGCAATACAATTCAGATAAAGCAGAGGGACAGTGTGTTTAAGGGGAGTGGGATAAGGAAGTTGTCATTATTGCAATAGTTTTACTCACATTTAGAATTACAAATGTTTCTGGCTTAAATCTTAAAGAAATAATCACACAAGTGAACAGAGATGTATGTACATATATATTCATCACCACATAGTGTTTCAGGGAAAATGAAACAACTAAATGTTAACTGATAAAGGACTTGTTAAATATTATTTACTAAAAAGAGTAATTCATATGCCTTATTATGTAAAGTGCACACAGAACTCCTTGTTCCTATATGCATAGATCTAATTCCCAGACATTCCCTAAAACATAGTGACTATTTCTCTAGGTGATAAGATTTCCAGTGATTTTCCCCTTCTTCAAACTTTCTCAATTGTTTGAACTTCTTACCATGAACATATACTACTGTCAAGAAACAACAGGGCTAAAGACTGAGGTTCCAATTTAGGTATTCCAAAGACTAAAATGTTTCCTTTACCTTGACTCTGTACTTCAGCCCAGTCCAATGGAACCGGAGGTTTCCTTTTCCGCCATAGTTTGTCCATTGTCAACAGATACCTGATATCATCTTTAAAAAGCTTTAAAACAAACAAACAAAAAAAAACTCATGAACCTTATAGTCCCTTTGCTGATATCAATATTACATTATATCTTCTGATTTAAAGACATGCTGTATACCAGTAGAAAAATGTTTTTTAAATTTTTACTTATTGACCTGAGAAAAAAAGAAATAGGTTTGTTATTACCTTCTTCATATGTTCTCTGGTTGATTCTTATATAGCCCTGACCGGGGATCGAACCCACAACACTGTGACATAGAGACAACACTCTAACCAACTAAGCAACCTGGCCAGGGCCTAGGCTAACAATTTTTAGAAGAAAAGAAGCCCAAAAAGATCCAAGATGGCGGCATACGTAAACATCTAAACTACTGCTGTTCACAACAATTTCAAAACTACAACTAAAAGACAAATGTCTATTATCCAGAACCAGGGAAAGCTGGCTGAATGGAAGTTCTATGACTAGAAGAAAAAAACAATCAGGGCACAAGCACTGAAAAACTGAGGTACGGGGACAAGCACGTGATCTGGGCTGGCAGTAGATCCCAGCTGGAGACAGCCGTTGCTTTATTCAGCCCAGAAAGAGACAACCTCCAGATCTCTCTAATATCCTGTTTCAGGGTCCCAGGTTCGATTTCGGTCAGGGGCATGTACATTGATTGCGGGCACATCCCCGGTAGGGAATGTGCAAGAGGCAGCTGGTCGCTGTCTCTCTCTCATCAACATTTCTAGCTCTCTATCCCTCTTTCTCCTCTCTGTAGAAAAATCAATAAAAATATAAAAAAACAAATAAATAAAATTTTAAAAATAAAGCCTGACTGTATTCAAACATTAAAAAAAAAAAAAAAGATCATCTATCAGGGAGGATCCAAGATGGCTGCTCGGGTAGACATCTAGCCGCGGCAGCACACAACAATTTCAATGGAATACAACTAAAATGTAGAGTGGACATTGCCCAGAGCTACAGGTAGTCGACTGACTGAAATTTCTACAACAAGAAGGAAAGAGAAAACCAGAAAGAAAATCAGAGGAGCTGAAAAAAAGCCTAAGGTACGGAGACATGCTGCGCGCGACTGCCCGCCCGCACGCGCGCACGGAGAGGTCGCAGCCGGAGAGGAGGAGAGGGCGGGGAGCCGCCTTTCCTTCCCTAGCAGGAAGGAAATAAAACCCCCAGCCTGGGCTGAATCCCCGAACCGGCAGCGCTGAGCCCCCCCGAACCGGCAGCGCTGAGCCCCAGTTATGGGCCAGACCCTGGGGACCCAGGCTCCGGTGGGAGGAGACGGGGCCCTGAGGCGGAAAAACGGCGAAAGGCAGGGCCCCGGGAGTCGCGTGCAATGCGCGCAGAGGACTGAATGTTGACTCTGATGCTGGGTTGCCCTAGCCGGAAGAAACAAGGCCTCCGGCGGCGCTGGGCCTCAGTCCGGACTGCTCCGAACCCCAGTTCTGGGCCAATCCCTGGGGACCCAGGCTCAGGCAGAGGGAGACGGGGCTGTGAGGTGGAATCCGGGAAGAGCGGCGAAAGGCCGGGCCCCCGGGACTCTCGCAAACTGCACGCAGAGGACAGTCTGTGGGACTCGCGCAAACTGTGCGCAGAGGACAGTCTGTGGGACTCGCGCAAACTGCGCGCAGAGGACAGTCTGTTGACTCTGATGCTGGACTTCCCTAGCGGGAAGGAGAAAAAAAAAGCTCTAGGCTGGGGGAACGCAGAGGGGAGCGGAAGCCCCTGCTGGCCTCCAGCCAACCAGGCACCAGCAAGGAGGCGGGCCACGGGGCCCCTGGGGGCGTGGGTGCCCCTGAGCCTTTGACCACTGAGCTCGGGCAATGGAGCCAAGGCCGGGGGCTGCTTCCTGGGCGGCGCCGTCCCGGCAACAGGCTGAAGCAGCACAGGAGCCCTCGGAGAACAAAGGGGTGCCACAGGCCAACCTGCTGAGCTCCCAGGACAAGGAGGAAGAAACCAAAGAAGTTCTCAATGTGAAGAAATCAAGTGAGAGCAAAAAATAGTAAAATTACTTAAGAAAGAATACAAAGAAGATCTTGAAAAATCAAAGACTAAGTCAGAACTCAACTCACCAGCCAACATTGCAACATAAATGCGTTTTAAAAAGAAAAAAAAAGGACAGAATGTTGGAACAGCGACGGCCAGGCCTAGAGTGGCCAGGCACAAGGCAGTGGCAGCCAGACCCGGAGCAGCAACGGCCAGGCCCCAGAACAACAGCAGCCAGAACCAGAGCATCAACAGCCAGCACTGGAGTAGCCAGACCTGGGGCAGTGGCAGCCAGGCATGAGGCGGAGGCGGCCAAGCCCAGGGTGGCCAGTCCAGGAACACCCAGACCCGGAGTGGCCGGGCCCGAAGAAGCCGGGCCCAGAGCAGCCGGGGTGGGAGCAGCCAGACCCAGAACAGCAGTAGCCAAGCCCAGAGCATCCAGGTCGGGAGTGGCCAGGCTCGGAGCGGCCGGGCCCGGGGTAGCCGGGCCCAGAGCAGCCGGGTCAGGTGCGGCCAGGCCCGGAGCAGCAGCTGCCAGGCTGGGAGCGGCCAGGCCCGGGGGAGCAGCCGGGTCGGGTGCGGCCAGGCCCGGAGCAGCGGCTGCCAGGCTGGGAGCGGCCAGGCCCGGGGGAGCAGCCGGGTCGGGTGTGGCCAGGCCCGGAGCAGCGGCTGCCAGGCTGGGAGCGGCCAGGCCCGGGGGAGCAGGCGGGGCTGGTGCGGCCAGGCCCGGAGCAGCGGCTGCCAGGCTGGGAGCGGCCAGGCCCGGGGGAGCAGGCGGGGCTGGTGCGGCCAGGCCCGGAGCAGCGGCTGCCAGGCTGGGAGCGGCCAGGCCCGGGGGAGCAGGCGGGTCGGGTGCGGCCAGGCCCGGAGCAGCGGCTGCCAGGCTGGGAGCGGCCAGGCCCGGGGGAGCAGGCGGGTCGGGTGCGGCCAGGCCCGGAGCAGCGGCGGCCAGGCTGGGAGCGGCCAGGCCCGGAGCAGCAGCAGCCAAGTACAGAGCAACTAGGTTGGGAGCGGCAGTGACCAGACCCGGAGCAGCTGGTTGTGGAATGAACCAGAGCAACAGAGGCCAGGCCCTGAGCAGCCAGGCCCAGAACAGCTCGCTCCTTGCCTGCCCCTGCCCCACGGCTGCTTCTCAGACATGGCTGGAAACTTTCGTGGGAACTTGAGTGTCTGCTGAATCAAGTGATGAAGGCTTAGATCTGGATGTGTTGAGTTAGTTTAGGACTGGGGTGTTGATCTGTGAGTGCCTTGGGTGGGGCCTGGATGAGGCTGGTTGACGTAGTGGGAAATGTCTTTTGTGTGAAGTGTATCATTGGGCATGTGGAGGTATTATTGATATGAGAAAATGCTAAGTAACTGATTTACTATCTGAAAAGGGATTTACTATTGGGGAAATTGAGGGAAGAAGAGACTGAACATAAACTGCACTTATGGATGAGGACAATGGGGGATGGGGGGTGGGGACGGAGGGTGGGGTGGGAACCTGGTGGAGGGGGGAAGAAATGAGGAACCTTTGTAATAATATGAACAATAAAGATTGCTTAAAAAAAAAAAAAAAAAAGGGTACAGGAGGAGGTTGCCCTTCAGACTACTCTGCTGCTGCACAATTCCAGAAGATACTGTCCCATGTTGCTCACAAGAGGAACATTAGGTACCAGAGTGGTGCACTGCATACCCTATATATCCTTATAGTGACACTACAGACTATCTTCTAATGGATTCCCACTGTCTCCATATAACCTAGAAAGCTCTGCCTGATCCAGCCTCAGCTTACCTTTCCCATTCTCTTTCCACTCTCCCCTTTAATGGGAATGATTTCAGTATTGTAACCTGAGACTTTCTTTGTATATGTCACACTCCACCCTTATTCTTTAAAATCTTAGTTCACCCTAAGAAATGTCACTTCCTCTGGAAAGCTTCTTTTGAACCCTTATGCTAGGTCTAATAATAAGGTTTAATTTACTAATTATTCAAGGATTTCAATGTAAATGAACTTAATGTCTTAACATTGAACTGAAATTACTTGTTCAATGTTTGTCTTTCCACTCTAGACTTTGCGTTTCCTATAAAGAGCAGGGACTCTATTTTCTGTCTTGTTTCACACTAAATCTCCTGTACTTTCAAAGTAGTGTCTGACACACAGCAGATGCTTTAAGTTACCTGTTGAATAAAAGAATGGAAATGTATATCATATTGGAATGGAAATAGATATATAGACACCAGTTTGGAAAATACTGTCGCTATCCATATCACAGTAAGTGCACTTTAATTATAATCAAAATAAAAAACTTTTTTCCTCCCAAGGAAAAGGCAATGAGGAAGTAAATGCAATAGGTTTAAGAAAGTCAACCTGCAACATCTGTGGACAGTGAGCAAAGAGATGAAATGCAAGCTGGATGAAGCGATAGGCCATTTGCTTTTACAACAGTGAGACCTGTGCATGTTAGGAAGCAGACAGCAGGTGCAAAGAGAGATCTAAGATGCAGGGCAGAGAGAAAATATTGTTTGAAAAGTAAGGTACAAAGGGAAGGGAAAATAGGAGGTAGAAGAGTTAGCCTTAACTCAGAGAATTTTCTCAAATAGAAAAAGAAAAAAAGAGTTTGCAATGAAGTGGGATATTCTCTTAATAAGTAAATTATATGCAATGGTTTCACACCTGTTAATGTATCTTTAAAGTCATGTGCTTAGTGAGAGTCGGAAGAATATATTAGGCAGTTTAAGAGATGAGAGAGTTTCCAGTAACTGTTAGATAAACTTAATAATACTAAGGAGCAAAGTAAAAGAAATAAAAAGACTTTAAAACACATATTTGAGCCGAAACCAGTTTGGCTCAATGGATAGAGCATTGGCCTACGTACTGAAAGGTCCCAGGTTTGATTCCGGCCAAGGGCATGTACCGAGGTTGCAGGCACATCCCCAGTAGGTGGTGTGCAAGAGGCAGCTGATCGATGATTCTCTCACATAGATGTTTCTAACTCTCTATCCCTCTCTCTTCCTCTCTGTAAAATCAATAAATATATTTTTTAAAACATATGAGGGCCTACACTATAATTAAGTAGATCCAATTAAACAAACCTGATTATTCTTCTAAAAATATTTAGCAATCAAATAATATGTACTAATGAAAAAGGATTCAGCCAAAAATAAAGAGGCTTTGGGATTCAAAAACAAGTGAGAACATGTCAAACTGCCAACAGAAAATTTAAGCATGAAAGGTGTATAAGACGAGAAACAGCAGGAACCAAAGGTGTTATAAGGAAAAAAACTTTCAGTGAAAGTGAGAGAAGGGGAGACAACCAAGAGTGTATAAGCCTCAGTATTTTACAACCAAGAGTGTATAAGCCTCAATATTATACAGGTGCTACACTAATTTAATAGACGCCAAAATTTCATAACCTCTTATCTTGACTATATCAATAAATGTGTTATGACAGTATTAGGCACAAAAAGCTTAATTCAATTTCACATATCATTTTTCAAACAAATCGAATCCATAATAAAGTAAACCTAACCTTGGTAAAAAGTTTAACTGGATCATATCCAGTTGATTTAGCCCATTCCTTTGTGGAAATACGCTTAATGTCACCATCTTCATTTGATGCTCTGACCCTGGCTTCAGCTTCCATTGGTTCCCCTACAAAAGAAACACCGCTTTTATTTTCAACTGTAATAAATACAGAAGTAAGCTCTCATCTACCTTTGGTGGTAAAAGGTCACTTTTGGACACCTGAAACATTTTTAGTTCAAAGAGAAAGAAAAATAACATGTGCATTGGCATTTTTATTGTACCTGAGATTCTGATGACCACAAGTAGAGCATTTCAAAATATAACCTATAATTAGATCTGGTAACAACTCCCAGCTCTTTTGCTAGGTTAGTGAAATTTCTCTGCACCCTGTTCTCACCAGTATAAGTTAACTATCCATATTGAAAACAGTGTTTTAAATATAAATACATCTTGCCAAAACCGGTTTGGCTCAGTGGTACAGCGTCGGTCTGCGGACTGAAAGGTCCCAGGTTCGATTCCAGCCAAGGGCATGTACCTTGGTTGCGGGCACATCCCCAGTGGGGCGTGTGCAAGAGGCAGCTGGTCGATGTTTCTCTCTCATTGATGTTTCTGGCTCTCTATCTCTCTCCCTTCCTCTCTGTAAAATATCAATAAAATATTTTTAAAAATATTTATAAATAAATACATCTTAAGTATATATATTATCTAGCATATAACTGCATTCTCCCTCCTAAAAATATCAATATTAAATTAGCAAAATAACGGTGCTCACTAATAAGATATCACAAACAGAGCAGCCGGGCCCAGAGCAGCTGGAGCGGCCCGGAGCAACAGAGGCCTGTGTCTTTTGTTTGAAATGTATCGTTGGGAATGTGGAGGTATTATTGATTTGAGAAAATGCTAAGTAATTGATTTGCTACCTGAAAAATGTAAAGTTCTGAAAGTTTAAGGTCTCTTGCCAAAAAAAGGTTTTAAAGCTAACACCTTAATTTTAATGGAGAAAGGGGAGGACAAGCCCTTCCCACCCAGAACAGGTAATCCAACTCCAGCCAGCAGCTATCTTTAAACAATGTGTACATTTACATTTGAATGGCTACACCTTTTGATAGCCTAAGGGCAAGCTTACACGTAAACAAGTTTGCTTCTCAGTTCCCAGGGCAGAAAAAACAAGGTTTAAAATTATTACATTTTAAAATTTATTCTTAAAAATATAAAAGTTTATTAATTAAAAAAAACAAACAAGGAAATTAAAAAAAACTGATGAACAATATTAACTGTTGATTAGAATAGCATCAGAGATACGGGAGGCGAGTGGACTGACAATTCTCGGGGAAAAGGGGAGTGGTGGATGCGGGAAGAGACTGAACATAAACTGCACCTATGGATGAGGAAGATGGGGGGTGAGGAAAGGGGAGAGGATGGGGTGGGAACCTGGTGGAGGGGGGGAAAAATGAACTTTTGTAATAATATGAACAATAAAGACTGATTAAAAAAAAAAAGATATCACAAACAGTTTACTCACAGGAAGCTTCAGGGTCAGCTCTGTCAGGAGATACTTCCTGATCAGCATCTTCTTCCCCAAACAACTGGCTATAATTTGAAAGCAGTAAATATTTATGTCCAACAAAATAGTCTGAACAAGTGTTTACTTTTGCAATTTTCTTCATAAACAGCTAATTTATTTTTTCCCTCTAAACTATATTTTTATTGATTTCAGAGAGCGAGGGAGTGACAGAAATATCAGTGATAGGAAAGAATCAATTGACTGCCTCCTGCATACCCCCACAATGGGTACTGAACCCACAACCTAGGCATGTGCCCTGACTGGGAATCAAACTGTGACCTCCAGGTTCATAGGTCACCATTCAACCACTGAGCCATGCCAGCCAGGTCACAAACAGCTAATTTATTTTTTAAATTGATTTCAGAGGGGAAGGGAAAGGGAGAGAGAGAAACATTAGGTGCGAGGGTGTGATGCCACGTAGGCTTTTATTATATAGGATAGTAAGCTGCAATTCTCTTTTACTAATTATAACCACCCTAACAAAGTATCTGACAAGTATTTTTTAAAACAATCAAGGCCCTGTGTCTAGTATGCCTCAGTTGGTTGAGCATCATCCTGTACACTGAAAGATCGTGGGTTCAATTCACAGGCAGGGCACATGCCCAGGTTGTGGTCTGGATACATGCAGAAGTGGCTGATTGATTACTTCTCCCTCCTACCCCCAACTCTTGCTCTAAAATCAATGGAAATTTTTAATTCATGAATTTTAAAATATATTTTTTTACTGATTTCAGAAAGGAAGAAAGAGGGAGAAACATCAATGATGAGAATCACTGATTAGCTGCCTCCTTCAGGTCCCCTATTAGGCATTGAACCCATAACCTGGGCATGTGTCCTTGACCAGAATTGAATCCAAGACCCTTCAGTTTATCTCCAATATCACATGAAGTTCACTGCATACAATAGGCATGCAATAAATGTTGGCTGAATTTAATCCAAGAACTATCACAAGGAAGCTATTAAAGTGTCCCTTCACCATATTTAAAATAACATTCAGGCCTAGCTGGGTTTGCTCAGTGGATAGAGCATAAGTCCACAGATGGAAAGGTTTGATTCCTGCCAATACATGTACCTCAGTTGCAGGCCCTAGTCAGGGCATGTGTAAGAGACAAACAATGGATGTTTCTCTCACATTGCTGTTTCTCTCTGTATGTCCCCCCTCTCCCTTTCACTCTTTATTAAAAAAAAAAATCAATGGCAAAATATCCTCAGATGAAGATTAACTCTCTTCCCCCCACTTTCCTCCACAAAAAATTTCACTAGGATACACTCTCTCCAAGACTTTAAATAAAAAAAGACCCCATTTTCTATCATCAGTATTAAAAATATGCCCAGAAATATACATATATTCTTACTTGAACAAATACTTTGCCCAAACAATGCAATGAATAGGTTCTGAAGGTGTGTTACGAATTGTACAGCCAGGAAAAGTTCTCTGAGTTGGTTTGGGATGACATTCATAACATTCAGTCACACCCTGCAAAGTCAGAATGTGAGAAAAACAGTTACCCCACAAGGGTGGTTTCTCACTAAGATAATATTTTCATTAACATTTCATTCATTCATTTCCATTTCAACTGAATTGTATGCTGTCAAAGAAATTTTAAAATCTTAGTGACTACAAAACCCTTACACTTTAAAGAGAAGCAAAAACTAACTGAATCAACCGTAGTCACAGCTAAAACTAAGCCATCTCCAATATCACTGGGCTCCTCTGACTCCTGAACCAGTGACCACTTACAACAGCAAAATAAAAATTACCAAACCTAAATCTCAAATTTGGGAATTTTATCTTGATTACACCAAAGAGAAAGAAAGATTACTACTAGAAAGATAGCTTTCCAACAATTTCTCTCTCAAAGTAGTGAAACTCAATTATTTAAATACTAGAGGCCCGATGCACAAAGATTCATGCAAGAACGGGCCCTCCTTCCGCTGGCTGCCAGCACTAGTTCTGGCAGGAGCCGCCTTTCCACGCTGCCCAGAGGACTGGAGCAGCTGGGGCGGTGAGGAGCGCCTGGATCGTCGCCATGGCACTCAGTGCCTGTGTAGGCAAATTAACCCATGGGTTAATTTGGATGTTCACTCCTGATTGGCTTGTGGGTGTCACAAAGGTACGGTCAATTTGCATCTTACTCTTTTATTAGTATAGATTATTCATAGCCTTACCTTAAAAACTAAATGAACTAAAAGAAATTATGTATTTCAAATTATGTATATGCTATCCAGATACATGGGAAAATACTAGGTATTATCAAACAAAATAGAAATATTCTTCATTTTGCTGACAGGGTTACCTTTTAAGTTACACTGTAAGAAATCCCTAGAAGTCTACAGCACCTGAGATAATTTTTCAAAACCATCAAATGAATCTTTTTCCTCTCAACCTCAGTTTTAATACATACTAGCATCTCAGAATCATGGTAATGAGAAGTACCTTTCAAATAATGAATGGTTAAAGAACCAAAACCTGCAAATAGTGTTTTAATGCCAAAACCGGTTTAGCTCAGTGGATAGAGCATTGGCCTGTGGACTGAAAGGTCCCAGGTTCAATTCCAGTCAAGGGAATGTACCTTGGTTGTGGGCACATCCCCAGTAGGGGGTGTACAAAAGGCAGCTGATCGATGTCTCTCTCTCATAGATGTTTCTAACTCTCTATCCCTCTTTTCCTCTCTGTAAACTATCAATAAAATATATGTATTTTTTAAAAGTGTTTTAATATTAACTATAGCAGATCCAGGGTTTTCCCCCTAATACCATTTCTGGGGCTTTCCAATATGCTTTATTGGAGGCAGTCATTTGGAGGCAGTTATCTCCCATTTCACAGCTGAGAAAAAAAGAACAACTACATTGACTTATCAACAGATCTGAAGGCCTCCACTGATTTCATTAAATCCGATATACTTTGATGTTACAAGTCTGCAGAAAGATCTTCTATAATAATAAAAGTGTAATATGCTAAGAAGCTGGAGCTGTGAGGGAAGACTTGATCCCAGGTGCCTGCCAGTGGCCAGAGGGAAGCCCAGGGCCTGGGTCCAGGTGCCAGAGGGAAGCCGGGGATGGCAGCCGGGGAAGGAAGGCCTGCTCTTGCACGGACTTCGTGCATTGGGCCTCTAGCAGTAAACAGGAGTAATTGTGACAATTAAAACAAAGTAGTACCAGACTTTTTAAGATAAATAAACTACCAAATAATATATAAAAACAGCAAATTTCTAGTAGAGTATAACTTCTTTTAGTTTCAAAATCTGTAAAATCATTCTTTGAATGTATTTATGTTTAGATTCTTGAAAGAAAAAAGCCCTAACTGGTTTGGCTCAATGGATAGAGCATCCACCTGCAGACTAAAAGGTCCCAGGTTTGGTACCAGACAAGGGCATGTACCTTGGTTGCGAGCACATCCCCAGTAGGAGTACAAGAGGCATTGATTGATGTTTCTCCCCCATCAATGTTTCTAACTCTCTATCCCTCTCCCTTTCTCTCTGTAAAAAAAACAATAAAATATATTTAAAAAATAAAAAAGATGTGATCAGGAAATGAATCACAATGCTGAGATTTTATAAAATTGGATTATGAGTACACTGATATTTGCTGCTATTCTTTAGTTTTATCTAAACATTTGAAACATTTCAAATATACCAAAAATATTTTTCAGCATACTCTTCAGATCTATATATACAGACTTTTTTTTTTTTTTACATAAAAAGTCACTTTTTAGAAGCCTGGTTTACTCTATATCAACTATAACATGATATGCCTCAGGTCTACAAGGAATTTTAAAAGTCAAGTTCATTATGCTTACCAGTCTACAGATTTTAATATACAAGTTATATGACCCAAAGTAGCAAAGATAAAAAGATCTACCCTCTTGGTGGGGTGGGAACCTGGTGGAGGAGAGCAATGGTGCGGGGGGGGGGGGGGGGGGGAACATTTGTAATAATATGAACAATAAAAATTTATTAAAAAAAAAAAAAAAAATCTACCCTCTTTGGGGTACCTTTATGGTATCCTAAGTTTTGTAGGAGCACAAAATTCCTTATGTCCTGGATCCTGACCAGCCCATCTACACTAATAAAAGAGAAAGATGCAAATTGACGGTACCTCCGTGACGCCCACCAGCCAATCAAGACTACAAATTAACCCAACAAAGATGGCGAGTTAATTTGCATATGTAGGTGTGGAGCAAAGACTGAAATCTCTGGCCCAAGTGAAGACTGAAGAGGTTAGGCTTCTCCACTCCAGCCGCAGCGATGCTTGGCTTCTCTGTGGCCAGAGTGAAGACTTGGGTCCTGGGTGCCAGCGGAAAACCGGTGCCAGCAGCCAAGAGAAGGCCTATTGCACGAATCTTTATGCAATCGGCCTTTAGTATCATATAAATCCAAAGTCTACATCTTAGAGGTCCCAAATAAGGATCTGGAAAGTATATAAAAAAAGTTCTTTACCTTTTTGATAGTAGTTACTTGCCCAAGATAACCAGCAGTTCCACTCTCGATAAGAGGGACGTCAGCTGCCAGACACATCCTATTAACATGGTTGCGGGCAGCTGGAAGAAAAATACTTAAGTTAGCAGGACTCTATGGGGGAAAAGAAGAAATTAACCCTTAACTAGGTTAACATTTACCCAAACAATTTCTTATTGGTTTTATTTTACATGCAATTTGTTTCCTTTAAAAAAAAAAAAAAAAGAAAGAAAGAAAGAAAATATATATATATATATATATATATATATTTCATTGATTTTTTACAGAGAGGGATAGAGAGTTAAAAACATCAATGAGAGAATATCATCGATCAGCTGCCTCTTACACATCCCCCATCAGGGATGTCCCGAAACTAAGGTACATGCCCTTACTGGAATCGAACCTGGGCCTTTCAGTCCACAGGCCAATGTTCTATCCACTTAGCCAAACCAGTTTTGGCTTTTTAAGTATTTATTGATTTTAGAGAGGAAGGGAGAGAGAGAAAGTTAGAACCATCAATGATGAGAGAATCATTAATCATCTGCACACTGCATGACCCACACTTGGGAATGTGCCCTGACCAGGAATTGAACTGTGAACTCCTGGTTCTTACGTGAACACTCCACCACTGAGCCACACCACAAAGGCCTGGCCTTTTTTATGTGTTTTTATTTATTTCAGAGAGGAAGGAAGAGGAAGAGAGACAGAAATATCAACAATGAGCCCTGGCTGGCTTTCTCAGTGGTCAGAGTGTGGGCTCTCAGATGGCTCAATCCCTGATTTACGGCAAGCACCTCAATTGCAGGTTCCCCAGCACGGGCAGGAGGTAACCAATCAATGTCTCTTCTCCTGTCCACGTTTCTTTCTCTCTCTCCTTCTACTCTCTCTAGTAATCAATGGGGAAAATATCCTTGAATGAGGAATAATAATTTAAAAAAGTAAAAAGAAACATCAATGATAAGAATCATTGATCAGCTGCCTCCTGCACTCCCCCTACTGTGGATCGAGCTCACAATCCTGTTAATAGGATGTGCTCTGACCAGGAATCAATCCAAGACCTCCTGGTTCATAGGTTTATGCTCAACTACTGAGGCATACTGGCAAGATGTACTTTTACATGTGGAAGTAATTACAGGCAAGGGATATTAAGTATTTTCATCCCACATTACAGACACACAGATTTCCTAACGATGACTAGCTATACAATACTAGATTATATAAGACATCACCGCATATTGTGAAAAGTTGAATTGGGATATAATGTGTACATCTAATAGAATCCAATATGGTATCTTACAGCACCAGAAATACTTAAAATAATTCAAGAGCCATAGCTTCTGTATTAACTTTGGGATCCTGTTGCCTCAGTCTCAAAACTGGTTTTCATGCCAAGACTGGTTTGGCTCAATGGATAGAGTGTCGGCTTGGGGACTGAAAGGTCCCGGGTCGATTCCGGTCAAGGGCATGTACCTTGGTTGCAGGCACATCCCCAGTAGGGGGTGTGCAGGAGGCGGCTGATCGATGACTCTCATCGATGTTTCTAGCTCTCTATCTCTCTCCCTTCCTCTCTGTACAAAATCAATAAAATATATTTAAAAAAACAAACAAACAAAAAAAACTGGTTTTCATTCTCAAATCATCCAGGGAACTCAAGAAATATGGTCCCTTAAGTCTGACTCAACTGATCTTGGGTGAGATCTGGTAAGACATTGGTAATTCTTTGATTTCCACAGAGATGAGGGGTGTGACACTGTTTAAGTGCTGAGATAATCTGAATCAAACACCCATGCATGCACCCTATGTAGATAACCCTTTAAGTATTTTAAGTTCCTTTATATTCACTCACACCTTTTGGTAGAACAGAATATATGACAGTTAAGTTCCTGTCTGGAACCAGTTTTGATTAAAATTACAATCATTTGGCAAGGCTTAAGCCTGATGACACACTTCCCCTTTAAGTTCTAACTCATAAGAAAATATTTTGATTAATTCTAAATGTGTAAACAGGCTTGTTATGGGGGAAGAAAAATACTTAGAAATTAAAAGTATTAAAATAATCTCACCTCTGTTATCTAAAGCATTCATAACCAATATAAATTGTCGAAAAAATTCCACATTATAATCGGGGCTACAAAGCAAAACAAAAAAAGGTCAACAAAACAACTGGCCTTACCTATAGAACATTCACAGTATATAATAAAAGGTACTAAAAAGCATTATTAATATATTAAATAGTGCAAAAATAACTGATATAATTAGGGCTCTCTACCATTTACATAGGTTTGACTTTTTCTAAACACCATAAGTGGATTTTAAAGAAATTACTCCCTGCTATTCCCTATGACTACACATCCTTTTTGGCCCGCTACCTAGGGCACAAGAGCAGAATCTCCAACTAGCAGAAAGATGGCATGACCTCACTAGTCCCACCAGGCCTTCTCTGGGCAGCAAGTGCCTGGGAACATACAAAGAACACATTCCCAGGATCTGCCTGGCCTCTGGCTTTACCTCACATGGTTAGGATCAGGCAGGGTTCAGGCCCCTAGAGTCCCTGCATTTAGCAGCCTGGGAAAATAACACAGGGTAAGGGGTTAGGGAGCTATAGGCAGGCTTGTAGAGCAAACATCCCGAGAATAAAAAGCTAGAGATACAAATTCCCTGAAAAAGTATAAAACTTCCTCTAATTCCAGACCTTATTTAAGAACTCATTTTTAAAACTGTTTACTTGTGAGTTACATAACTAAAGGTAAAAAATTGAGGCCCTATGACCCGACATATCCCGAATGTTATATTTACTTTTTTTTACTAAGATATTTCTATACTGTTAAAACTACTGCTCCATCACAATTCCTAGGGTTATGTTACAGAAATCACAGTCCTAAAAAAGGAGTTATCCTGGGAAGGAACCTTTTAAACTAAAAAAGACGACAACTGAAATCAATCAGAATGAGAGCAATATATTTAGAAAAATCTGAATCATCACATAAAAGGATTTATCATAGTTTAGAATATATTTTTATTTAAAAAAGACTATAAGATCCTTATATTCAGTTTCCAAGTAAATTATTTATTGAAAGTATTAAAATATATTACCTCTTATCTAAATCATTCAAATCATACATATATATAAATATAATTTGATCATACACACACACGCACACACACACTTATTACAAGAATGCCACTCAACTTATGTGGGCACAAACTATAACATTCTAGAAAAATCATTTTTTTTTTAAAGCAGAATGACTTCAAGCTCACATATTTAGCTAATAAAAATACCTTATAACTTTAATAAAACTTTAAAAGTTCACAACAAACAATTTTGCAACATAATAATTAGAGCATACTTCATGATGCTGTCATGGTAGGCTATGATATTTGCTTTCGGGTAAAACTGCAGTACACTTTCTTTGGCAACCTGGAAAAACAAGCAACACTAAATTACTAATTTACTAAATTAATACAACCTTTTTATCTGTATTTGAAACATTTTTATGGCAGACAATCCTGTTATTTCGCCTACTTACATAATGTTATTCATATTATAACTAAAGAAATATTAAAATGTTACAAAATTTCATTAAAATTAAACTATATACACATATTTATAAACAGGAAAACTGCCCCACTCCTATATATAATTCTACAAGAATGACAAGCTTAAAAAATAAAATACAGTAAAGAAATCACTCAACAAATATTTTCTGAGTATCTTTTATGTACCAGGATCGTTACAAGGCACTGGCGAACAAACATGACATTAATCAAATAACCACCTCGGTAAATATAACTACGAGTATGATAAATGGTACTCAGGAAAAGTAGAGGTTATCATAAAGAACTGGTCTGGCCCACGCGTTTGGGCGAGTGTCCCTAGAGAAGAAAGCCAAATAGAGAAACGCGTGGGAGTCTGCCGAAAGGGCAGGGAAAGACGTTTCAGGACTGAATCAAAATGCAACACTCAAGGAACTAAACGTCAGGGTGGCTAGAACCTCAGGAGAGGCTGTCTCCTATAAAAAGAGACAACAGTCGAAACCGGTTTGGCTCAGTGGATAGAGCGTCAGTCTGTGGACTGAGGGGTCCCAGATTGATTCCGGTCAAGGGCATGTACCTGGGTTGCGGCCACATCCCCAGTGGAGGGTGTGCAAGAGGCAGCTGATCGATGATTCTCTCTCATCGATGTTACTAACTCTCTATCCCTCTCTCTTCCTCTCTGTAAAAAAATCAATAAAATATATTTTAAAAAGTAAAATAAAAAGAGACAACAGCATAAGCTAATATAAGAGCAGCCAACCTCTAGGGAAGGTTATCCTAAGCAAACAATCAGAAATTTAAATAAGGGACACCATTTACACCATTTGGTAGAGCACTTCCATTTCCTCGGTAGACATCCCTACTCCCCCTACATATTTAGTTCTTTACTCCACATATTCCCCCCCACACACACACACATATTCTTTTTATTCTTAAATATCTCAGCTACAAAGAGATATTTCAGCTACAAAGAGATAACTGCTTCCCCATACTCTCCTTAATACAAATTAATCTGATATCATAAGTAGAAAATCCATCAAAGGGTAGGATATTTAAATGGATAAATAGAAATTATATGAGAAATTACCTGGGCCTTTGATCTTCCAACATGTTTCTTTTGAAACAAAAACTGCCTGTTGAGGTTGCTGACATCAATAGTATCCAGATCAATCTACAAATGCATAAAACCCCGATAAGTCACAAATTTTCTGATATGTTTGAGCAATATCACTATTCTCAGCATCCATTAACTCAGAACTTTTGATATTTGCTACATTTGATGAAGAAAATGCTTTTTTTTTATTAATACCAAAATTCCTAAAACTGGTAATTATTTTTTTCAATTTTTTAAATTAAGGTATGTGTACATATCTTATCATTGCCTCCCCACTCCCATATATTCCCTCCCCTCCCGCCCGAGTTTTGCGTCCACTGGTTATGCTTATATGCATGTATACAAGTCCTTTGGTTGATCTATCTCCCTAACCTTCCTGCTATAATTTGACAGTCTGTTTATTGCCTTACTGTCTCTGTATCTATCTTTTGGTTCATCAGTTTATAATGATCTTTATTATCCATAAATGAGTGAGATCATGGGGTGTTTTCTTTCATTGTATGGCTTATTTCATTCAGCATAATGTTCTCCAATTCCATCCAGGTTGCTGCAAACAAGAATTCCTTCTTTTTTATGGCAGCATAACAGATGTACTCATCTGCTGCCGGGCACCTAGGCTGTTTCCAAATCTTAGCTATTGTAAATTGTGCTGCTATGAACATAGGGGTGCATATATCTTTTCTGATTGGTGTTTCTAGTTTCTTAGGATATATTCCTAGGAGTGGGAGTTCCATTTTCAGTTTTTTGAGGAAACTCCATACTGTTCTCCACAGTGGTTGCACCAGTCTGCATTCCCACCAGCAGTGCACAAGGGTTCCTTTTTCTCCGCATCCTTGCCAACACTTGTGGTTTGTTGATTTGTTGATAGCCATTCTGACAGGTATAAGATGGTACCGCATTGTCGTTTTGATTTGCATCTCTCTAAAACCATTAATTTAATACACAACTTAAGAGAGAACTTTCTCGCCCTAGGTGGTTTGGCTCACTGGATAGAGCATCGTCCTGGGGGGACTGAAGGGTCCTAGGTTGGATTCCAGTCAAGAGCATGTACCTTGGTTGCAGGCACATCCCCAGTAGGGGGTGTACAAGAGGCAGCTGATCGATGTTTCTCTCATTGATGTTCCTAACTCTATCCATCTCCCTTCCTCTGTAAAAAAAAAATCAATAATTTTTTTTAAAAAGAGAACTTTCTCAAAATTTTTTTTTTTAGAAAGGATGCTTCCCCCACTTTTGTTCAATCACCCTAGCAAATGTTAGCAGCTCAAATGGTTAGCACATCCTGCCAGCAAGCCAAGGTTTCAGATTCCATCCCAGGTCAGGGCACATACAAAATCAACCAGTGAGCCTGGCCAGTGTTAGAGTGCTCAAGCACCCAAGAATTTCGGATTCAATTACCGATCAAGGGCACATACCTGGTTTGCAGGTTCTCTCCCTGATTCCTGGCAACCAGGGCTATATGTACAGGAGGCACAATCTATGTGTTTCTCTCACATTGACATTTCTGTTTCTTTCTCCCCTTCCATTCTCTTAAAAAAAAAAAAAAAAAAAAATCTATGGAAAAGATATCCTCTTGTGAGGATTAACAACAAAAAAGAATCAACAGTGAATGCATAAATAAGCTAAACCAATGGATGTTTTTCTCTAGCTCCCTCTCCCTTCCTCTATCCCTCTAAAAATTAATTAATAATTGTTTTTAAAAAAAGAAGTTCCATATTGAAAATACATTATAGTCCGGGCCAGTGTTGCTCAGAGGTTAGTGTTATTAGTCCCTCTACAAGGCATCTCAGGTTCAATTCCCTGTCAAAGGAAACAACAACATAGATGTTTTTCCTCTCTTCTCTCCCTCCCTCCCATGCTTTCTAAAAATCAATTGGGGGGCGGGGGGGGGGGGGGAGAGGAGGGAATCCTTGTGTGAGGATTAACCAAAACAAAAAATATATATATAATTAATCTCTATCAATCTAATTAATCTTTCAAATCCACATAGATTTAACTGTGGCTTTTTTTAAAGTGATACTTGACAAATATTGAGTTTTTAAAAAAATATATTTTATTGATTTTTTACAAAAAAGAAGGGAGGGATAGAGAGCTAGAAACATCGATGAGAAACATCAACCAGCTGCCTCCTGCACACCTTCCACATGGGATGAGCCCCAACCAATGACCGAAATCGAACCTGGGACCTTTCAGTCTGCAGACTAATGCTCTATCCACGGAGTCAAACCGGTTTTGGCTAATTTATTGAGTTTTTGCTAATTTCTTTAATTGGAAAGTCTTCACACATACAAATAATTTAAAAAATATATTTTCATTGATTTCAGAGAGGAAGGGAGAGATAGAAACATCAATGATGAGAATCATTGATGGGATCGGACCCACAACCCCTGCATGTGCCCTGAACAGAATCGAACTGTGACCTCCAGGTTCATAGATCAATGCACAACCTCTGAGCAACCTCAGCCAGCCCCCACAATATCATTTATAATTATTTTCTGAAGGCTGTAAAGAAAAATTTCTACACAAGATTTTTAAAACTATTTTTATTAATTTCAGAGAGGAAAGGAGAGGGAGAGAGATTTAGAAACATCAATGATGAGAATCATTGATCGGCTGCCTCCTGCACACCCCCCACTGGAGATCCAGCCGGCCACCAGAGCATGTGCCCTTGGCTAGAATCAAACCTGGGACTGTTCAGTGAGCTAAACTGGCTGGGGCTCTACACAAGATTTTAAATGTCTTGTGTTAGCCTTATCTAAGTGCTGCTCAAAAGTAAATATTAAAGATGAAAATAATGCCGGGTCCGGTTTGGCTCAATGGATCCGGTTTGGATAGAGCTTGGGGACTGAAAGGTCCCGGGTTCGATTCCGGTCAAGGGCATGTACCCTGGTTGCGGCATATCCCCAGTAGGGGGTGTGCAAGAGGCAGCTGATCGATGACTCTCTCTCATCGATGTTTCTGACTCTCTCTCTCTCTCTCCCTTCCTCTCTGTACAAAATCAATAAAATATATTTAAAAAAAAAAAGATGAAAATAATGACTAACGCCATTTTAATTTCATTTCAATAAATTTATATAGAGTAATCAAATGTTCTAATTGTGAAACATCTTAAAGGATTTGGTTGTGAAAATCATCAAAACATATAAACAATGTAAAAAAATAATTTTTTATTTGTATGTTCAAAAATTTACTACGAAACTTTGAATAAAAAATTTCCCCACAGCCGAAGCCGGTTTGGCTCAGTGGTAGAGCGTTGGTCTGCGGACTGAAAGGTCCCAGGTTCGATTCCGGTCAGGGGCATGTACATGGTTGTGGGCACATCCCCGGTAGGGGGTGCGTAAGAGGCAGCTGGTCGATGTTTCTCTCTCATCGACGTTTCTAGCTCTCTCTCTCCCTTCCTCTCTGTAAAAAATCAATAAAATATATTGAAAAAAAATTTTCCCCACAAAAACTGGCTGGCAGTTGAAACCCAGGCTACAAAGGATCAGCATGTATTTTTCAGGTGTCTATTACAAAACAGTTCTTTTAAATATGTATCACTGTTTATCAGGTAAGGCACAATCATTTTGGATTTGTGGTACAGAAGAGAATGGGAAGAAATGCCCTATTAAAAAACAAAGGGAAAATGTCCGAATTGTTTCCCCCAATCACTCAGTATTAGCTCAGCCAGCCACCTCTACCTTTTTTTTTTTTTATTCCAAGTTTCCATTACATCTTAAGACACATTTAAACTCACATCCACATCCAAATCCAGGAGACAGCTCTCATCTCTAAAAAGTTCACTTTAACAGAAATAACTAGATTTAAAATTAGTCGTTGTAAACCAACGCAGAAGTTAAGATCCTAACCACCCTCCGAGGAAATTAGCGAGTGCATTGTCTCTGGTGATGAGACTGAGTCCCGCAGACGGACCCAGAACAGAGAAGCATGAGTCCCAAAGAGTCCTGCCAGTCTCTTCGTGACCCCAGACAAATTGCTAACCCTCACTGCAGCTCACTTTCCTTCCCTGGAATCTGTGAACGACCACAGCGATGAAAATAGCCTTTGCAGCCTCCGGGCGGTGTGCAGAGTAAACGCGCGGACGCGGGCAAACGCCTCAGGGTCGGCTCAGGCTGGGACCAGTGCTCAGGGGGTACCATTACCGCCACCCTCCTCGGTCATTATGTCTGAGTTAAGGGGGACCTGATTTCAACAGCCACGACGTGCACTAGAAATGCAATCACCTCCTGCCTCCCGTTGAAGCGAGGAACTGCTCTAAAGCCGCAAGACCTGAGGCCGCTTCTCCTCCTAGAAACGCCGCAAATCGGCGCGGCGCGGCCGGGAGCGGCGGCGGCCCGGCGGGAGGCCGGGAAGGTGGGCCGCGGCCTCCTCAGCGCCCCGAGCGGGCCAGCCCCGGCGAGGCCCGCCCCGTCCCCGCCGCGGAGCTCCCTCTCCAGCCGGGACGCGGAGCCTCTGGGCCGGCCGTGGCCCTCCACGCCGGTCCGACCGCGGCCCTCGGCCCCAGGACCCCCTCACAGCCCGCGCGCCTGGCCCTCACCAGGTCGATGTGGGAGAATCCGGTGAGCACGAGGTTCTTGAGGAGCTCGCAGCCGATGCCGCCCGCGCCCACCACCAGCACCCGGCCCCTGGCCACGGCCTCGGCCAGCTCTCGGGGGAGCCCCCGCGACAGAGCCATGGCGGGACGACCACGAGCCGCGACGGAGGCGGAGGCGGGAGAACTGAGCCGAGGCCGGAAGCGGGTGGGGGATGGGCGGCGCGGCTTCCGCTCCTGCGCACTGCGTTCTGCCTCCGCGGGCCGGCTGTGCGCAGGGAAGGCTGCTCCCCCGAGCTGTGTTCCTGCCTGGTAGTGTTCCTGCCTAGTTGTGTTCCTTCCAGATCTCAGACCCGCTGACCAGTTTAAGAAGCTAAGGGTCACTTGGTAGCCTGGGGTTTGAACTGCCAGCCAAGGTTTTGTTACAGGTTACAAACAGATGCCCCTATATGTAAAGAGCTCTTACAAATTAAGAAGAAAACAAATGTCACCCATCAAAAAAATATAGGCAAATGATATCAACAGGCACTCATGAAGAAAATGAATAATTTGATCAATAATCATATTGAAATTTAATCAAAGAAATGCAAAATTGTATTTAAGTTATTTTCACCCATTGGCCTGGTGGGGTAGGTTAGTTGGGTAGAACATCCTCTGGATATACCAAGGTTGTGCTGGCCGGTTCCATCCATACAAGAATTTAACAGTGCGTGTATAGCCGAAACCGGTTTGGCTCAGTGGATAGAGCCTCAGCCTGCAGACTAAAGGGTCCTGGGTTCGATTCCGGTCAGGGGCATGTACCTTGGTTGCTGGCACATCCCCAGTAGGGGGTGTGCAAGAGGCAGCTGACTGATGATTCTCTCTCATTGATGTTTCTAACTGTATCCCTCTCTCTTCCTCTCTATGAAAACTCAATAAAAAAAAAAATATATATATATATATATATATATATATATATATATATATTAAAAAAAGGTGAATGGCCGGAGCCAGTTTGGTTCAGTGGATAGTGTCAGCCTGCGGACTGAAAGGTCCCAAGTTCAATTTAGTCAAGGGCACATGCCCAGGTTGCAGGCTCGATCCCAGTAGGGGGCCTCCAGGAGACAGCCAATCAATGATTTTATCTCATCATTGATGTTTCTCTCTCTCTCCCTCTCTGAAATCAATATTTTAAAAAAATACAAATTGGTAGTTACAAAGTATAGTAAGCTGCCAATTGCCTTCACTATCAGAGAGGTGTGGACAAGGAACCTGGAGGCCTAGTCAACCTTGAAGCTCTGAAAGGTCAGAGCAAACCACCCACTATTTAGTTGAGATAATGGTAGCTAAAGCAACTTCCACCTTTTAGTTTTATGTAAATTTGTGCTGATTGGCTATTATTGGAATTGCCTACCTAAAGGGATAGCAAGGCCAGAGCGGGGTGGAGTCCTTCCCCTTGAGTTGGGCTCTCGCCTGGACCCCAATATTTCCAAATTAATATTTTCTAGTCTCTTTCATTTGGGTGCAGCCTCCTCCAGAACCCTGAATCACAAGGGACGTGAAAGGGGTTCACTACAACAAAGATGTAAAGTACAGCACAGGGATTATAGTCAATATAATAACTATGGATGATGCCAGGTGATTACTAAACTTATTGGGGGAATCATTTCCTAAGGTATATAAATGTCTGTATACCTAAAACTACTGTAATATTGTATAGAAACTATAATTGAAAACAGTTTTTTATTGGCAAGAAAAGTTTAACACTCTTGTCAAGGAATAACAAAACAGCCCTGGCTGGTGGTCTCAGCAGTTAGAGAATCTGCTTGTGCACTGATTTAATTCTCACAGGTTTGATTCTCAATCAAGGGCACATACCCTGAGTTGCAGGTACAATCCCCAGCCCCAGTCTGGCCTTGTATGGGAGGCAAACAATTGATGTTTCTCTTTCTCTCTCTCCTCTTTCCTTCCACTATCTCTAAAAATCAATGGAAAAAATATCCTTGGATGAGGATTAACACACACACACACATACGCACGCACAGAATAAGAAAATAAACACGACTAAAGCAAAGTTTTTCTAGAGTATGTTAAAAGATAAACTGAGCCCTGGCCAGTTTGGCTCATTGGATAGATAAATCAATAAAATATATATATTTTTAAAAACAGAAAAATAGGCCGAGACTGGTTTGGCTCAATGGATAGAGCCTCGGCTTGGGGACTGAAGGGACCCGGGTTCGATTCCGGTCAAGGGCATATACCTTGGTTGCAGGCATATCCCCAGTAGGGGGTGTGCAAGAGGCAGCTGATAGATGACTCTCTCTCATCGATGTTTCTAGCTTTCTATCTCTCTCCCTTCCTCTCTGTACAAAATCAATAAAATATATATTTTTTAAACAGAAAAATAGGCAAGAATCCAAGATGGCTGCACAAGTAAACACCTAACCACAGCCGCACACAAAAATTTCAATAAAATACAACTAAAATATAAAATGGACATTACCCAGAACTACAGGAAAGTCGACTGACTGGAAATTCTACAATGAGAAGCAAGGAGAAAACCAGAAGGAAGCGCAGAGGAGCTGTAAAAGCCTAAGGTACGGAGACATGCGGCGCGCGGAGAGGACGGAGCCAGAGAGGAGGGAGGCTGAGTGCCTGGCTGGCATTCCCTAGTGGGAAGAAGATAAAAGCTCCGACTGTGCTGAACCCCAGACCCAACAGTGTGGAACCCCAGTTATAGGCCAGACCCTGGGGACCCAGGCTCATCCAGAGGGAGCTGGGCTGTGAGGTAGAAACCTGGGGGAGCAGCAAAAGGCAGAGCCCCCGGAGGCACGCACATTGCGCGCAGAGGACAGACTGTTGACTCTGCTGCCAGATTGCCCTAGTGGGAAGGAGAAAAAAAGCTCTGGACTGTGCTGAGCCCCAGTTCCAACTGCTCTGAACCCAGTTCTATGCCAGACCACGGGTACCCAGGCTCAAACAGAGGGAGCTGGGCTGCGAGGCGGACCCCGGGGGAGCGGCAAAAAGAGGTCCCAGAGGCGCGCACATTGCACACACAGAAGGGATGGTTGGCTGTGCCGCAGGATTGCCCTGGTGGGAGGAGACAAAAGCTCCAGACTGCTCTGAATGCCACCTCCAGCTCCACTTCCAACTGAACTGAACCCCAGTTCCAGGCTCATTGGGGGAGAGCCTAGACTGTTTGGTAGCAGGCAAAAATCGAGGGCACCTCACTCTCAGAGGTGCTTGCAGTGAGTACTGAAGAACCCTAAAGAATAATGAGACTCAGGAGAGAAGATCCAAGATGGCTGCTCGGGTAGACATCTAACTGCAGCAGCACACAACAATTTCAATGGAATATAACTAAAATGTAGAGTGGACATTGCCCAGAGCTACAGGTAGTCGACTGACTGAAAATTCTACAACAAGAAGGAAAGAGAAAACCAGAAGGAAAATCAGAGGAGCTGAAAAAAAGCCTAAGGTACGGAGACATGTTGCGTGCCCGCCCGCACGCGCGCGCAGAGAGGTCGCAGCCGGAGAGGAGGAGAGGGCTGGGTGCTGCCTGGCGTTCCCTAGCAGGAAGGAAATAAAACCCCCAGCCTGGGCTGAACCCCCGAACCGGCTGCGCTGAGCCCCAGTTATGGGCCAGACCCTGGGGACCCAGGCTCCGGCAGGGGGAGATGGGGCTGTGAGGTGGAAAAGCAGCGAAAAGCGGAGCCCCCGAAGTCGCGCGCAATGCAAGCGCAGAGAACTGAATGTTGACTCTGATGCTGGGTTACCCTAGCCGGAAGAAACAAGGCCTCCAGCGGTGCTGAGCCTCAGTCCGGACTGCTCCGAACCCCAGTTCTGGGCCAATCCCTGGGGACCCAGGCTCAGGCAGAGGGAGACGGGGCTGTGAGGTGGAGTCTGGGGAGAGCGGCAAAAGGCCGGGCCCCCAGACTCGCGCACACTGCGCGCAGAGGACAGTCTGTTGACTCCTCTAGCAGGAAGGAGAAAAAAAGCTCTAGGCTGGGGGAACGCGGCGGGGAGCGGGAGCCCCTGACGGACGCCTGCCAACCGGGCACCAGCAAGGAGCCAGGCTACAGGGCCCCTGGGGGGGTAGGTGCCCCTGAGCCTTCGACCGCTGAGCGCAGGCAATGGAGCCAAGGCCGGGGGCTGCTTCCTGGGTGGCGCCGTCCCCGGCAACAGGCTGAAGCAGCGCAGGAGCCCGCGGAGCACAAAGGGGTGCCACAGGCCAACCTGCTGAGCTCCCAGGACAGCGAGGAAGAAACCAATGAAGTTCTCAATGTGAAGAAATCAAGTGAGAGCAAAAGATAGTAAAATTACTTAAGAAAGAATACAGAGAAGTTCTTGAAAAATCAAAGATTAAGTCAGAACTCAACTCACCAGCCAAAATTGAAACATAAATGCGCTTTAAAAAAGAAAAAGAAAAAAAAGGACAGAATGTTGGAACAGCGGCTGCCAGGCCTAGAGTGGCCAGGCACAAGGCAGTGGCAGCCAGGCCCGGAGCAGCAACGGCAAGGCCCCAGAGCAGCAGCAGCCAGAACCAGAGCATCAACAGCCAGCACTGGAGCAGCCAGACCTGGGGCAGTGGCAGCCAGGCCTGAGGCGGAGGCGGCCAAGCCCAGGGTGGCCAGTCCAGGAACACCCAGACCCGGAGTGGCCGGGCCCGGAGAAGCCGGGCCCAGAGCAGCCGGGGTGGGAGCAGCCAGACCCAGAACAGCAGTAGCCAAGCCCAGAGCATCCAGGCCGGGAGTGGCCAGGCTCGGAGCGGCCGGGGCCGGGGCAGCCGGGCCCAGAGCAGCCGGGTCGGGTGCGGCCAGGCCCGGAGCAGCGGCTGCCAGGCTGGGAGCGGCCAGGCCCGGAGCAGCAGCAGCCAACTCCAGAGCAACAAGGTCGGGAGCGGCAGTGACCAGACCCGGAGCAGCTGGTTGTGGAATGAACCAGAGCAACAGAGGCCAGGCCCTGAGCCACCAGGCCCGGAACAGCTCGCTCCTCGCCTGCCCCTGCTCCACAGCTGCCTCTCAGACATGGCTGGAAACTTTCGCGGGAACTTGAGGGTCTGCTGAATCAAGTGATGAAGACTTAGATCTGGATGTGTTGAGTTAGTATAGGGCTGGGGTGTTGATCTGTGAGTACCTTGGGTGGGGCCTGGATGAGGCTAGTTG